AGATTAAGTTTAGTTTTTGAATTTTGTGAATGGCATGGGGTGTCTGGAAATTTGTTTACACGTATTTTATTGAGGTGGCTAAAACTTAAGGTGAATAGTTCAATACATAAGTGAAAAAGGGCAAAAGGAAAATCTTAGAAAGACGGAAGCAACCAGAAAGTCAGTTAATCTGGCGTCTGTGGGTACCAGATACTGGAAGCTAAAGCGGTAAGACGACTGGTCGGAAAAGTACTCAAAGCTGAGTGAATGGAAAACCCACGTGTTTGCTCTGAAAGTGCTGACAAGTCAATAAAGAATAAAGTTTCAGAAACCAATTACAGCTGTGCTAACTGAACAATGACCTTTAGAGTGGAGACAGGAGACCTTTCACTGAGGTTTCAGTATTGGTAAGGTTTTTACTGAAGGTAAAAAGGTTGAAGTTTATGCTATCTATAGTGTGTTTGTTTCAAATGATTCTTGTATGGCCAAACATAGTTTGCGTGTTTTTCCTTTCATGAGATAAACTTTTACGTCGTTTTGTTCAAGTACATTGGAAGCCTCACGTGAATAATGTTCAGTGACTGAGCATGGCAGCAAACAAATTGTAAACACAGAACTTATTGTCTATCAGGTCAGGTTTCACTCTGGGATCTGATTTGTGCAGTGTTACCATTAGATGGGATCATAACATAAGAAAGGAATATATCAGACAAATGCAAAGAGAATAAAATGATAGAGAAATGAGCAAGATTGACACTGATAAAGAGAAGGGATTGACAGGGTAGATGGGAGAGGGAATATTGTTGGTTCATTTTCACCATAGCTTTGGTGGTGCCTTTGCCATTGTCTTGCTTCTTCCCTGGTTTTCTTCATGCCTTTCTCAGTTCACATCTCAATGTTATCCACCCATCCTATTTTCTTGTTCCTCTTCCATTTCTATCCTTGATTTCTCCTTCAACTGCTAACAGGACAAGGCTATTGGCTCTTTGTTCCCAATGTCTGCACTTGGCCATCTCTCTCTCTCATGCCCTGTAACGGGACTCAACAATCTCAACATCTCAACCTCTCCACCCCTCTCACTGACTCTAACCTCTCCCCCAAGGAATGTGCAGCCCTCTGCTCCAACCCTAACCTCATCATCAAACCCGCAGATAAGGGGGGCACTGTAGTGGTATGGCGCACTGACCTTTACATAGCTGAGGCCAGGCGCCGACTCTCTGAGACCTCTTCCTACTGCCCCCACAATCATGATCCTACCCCTGACGACCAAACCATCATCTCTCAAACCATTCATAACCTCACCCATCTCAGGTGATCTCCCACCTACAGTCTCCAACCTCATCGTTCCCCAACCCTGCACTGCCCTTTTCTATCTCCTTCCCAAAATCCACAAACCTGATTGCCACAGCCAACCCGTTGTCTCTGCCTGCTCCTGCCCCACTGAACTTATCTCCGCTTACCTTGAGTCTGTCACCCCTCCCCCCACCTCGGTCCAGGAACTCCCCACCTACGTCTGGGACACCATCCACGCCCTCTACCTCCTCCAAGACTTCCAATTCCCTGGCCCCCAACACCTCATCTTCACGATAGACATCCAATCCCTATACACTTGCATTCCCCACGCAAATGGCCTAAAAGCCCTCCACGTCTTCCTGTCCCGCAGGCCCGACCAGTCCCCCTCCACTGACACACTCATCTGCTTAACTGAACTCGTCCTTACCCTTAACAACTTCTCCTTTAACTCCTCCCACTTCCTACAGACTAAAGGACTGGTCATGGCCACCCGCATGGTCCCAAGCTATGCCTGCCTCTTTATAGGATACATGGAACAGTGCCTTTTCTGCTGTTACACTGGCACTATCCCGCACCTCTTTCTCCACTACATCGATGACCGTATTGGCGTTGCCTCGTGCTTCCATGAGGAGCTTGAACAGTTCATCAACTTTACTAACACCTTTCACCCCAACCTCAAATTCACTTGGACCATCTCTGATCCCTCCCTCTCCTTCCTGGACCTCTCTGTATCCATCTCCGGTGACCGCCTCAAAACTGACATCAATTTCAAGACCCACCGACTCCCACAGCTACCTAGGCTACACCTCCTCTCACTCACCTTCCTGCAAGAATGCGATCCCCTACTCCCAATTCCTCCGCCTCTGCCGCGGCTGCACCCAAGATGGAGTGTTCCATTCCTGAACATCCCAGATATCCTTTTATTTCAAGGACCGTAACATCCCCCCTACCCGGTGATCAAAAATGTCCTCAAACACATCTCTTGTGATTCCTGCACCTCTTCCCTCACATCCCCTCCCCCCAACTAAAAGAAAGACAGAATCCCCCTTGTCCTCACATATCACCCCACCAACCTCCATATTCAACGTATCACTCTCCGCCACTTCAGCCACCTACAATCCGACTGCACAACCAAAAATATATTTCCCTCCCCACCTGTATCTGCCTTTCATTGGGACCACTCTCTCCGCGACTCCCTCATCCACTCCACACTGCCCACTAACCCCACCACACCCTGCAACCGCAGGAAGTGTGACACCCGCCCCTACACCTCCCCTCTCCCCTCCATCCAAGGTACCCAGCAAACCTTCCACATTAGACAGCGGTTCACCTGCACGTCCATCAACGTGGTCTACTGCATCCACTGCTCCCAATGTGGCCTCCTCTACATCGGTGAGACCAAGTGTAGACACAGAGACTGTTTTTTGGAGCTTCTGCGCTCTATATGCGACAAACGACAACACCTTCCAGTTGCCAACCATTTTAACTCCCTCTCCTACACGCATTTATTTTAAATTTTATTTTTAATCAAACTGCTTAGACATATTATGACACATATCTGGGGCAGGTGTGCCTTGAACCTCGACCTTCTAACCCAGAGGTAGAGACATTACTCTGCATCACAAGAGCCCTTTTATAGATATTTTCTAATCAATCTGTTCAGAGATGTTATGTCACATCTCTGGAGCTGGGAGAAGTTGAATATAGGGCACCTGGCACAGAGATGGGCACACCACCACACTGCCACCACAGATCATTAACAGCCTTTATACACGCAGTCAAGTTCTCATCTAATTATTCCCTAACTAACATATCACATAATTAACCATCATCTACTCCCTAGTTCCATTCAGTCTCAGGCACCTTTCTCATTTCCTGCACTCGGTGGAAGATTGCCTGGCTATGTCCTTAAAGCAAAGGATATGTAAGTGGCCCATTGTGAAACCTAACCCAGACTCCTCCCAATGATCATTAAATGATCAAAGAAGTTGTCAACAATTCCATCAAGCAAGAATTCCTCATCAATAACCTGCTGACACTCAGTTCCTCACCTTTTCCCAGCTTTTATCCAAATATGGAAAAGAGACTTGAGTGCCAGAGGCAGGAGTAGTTGCCCATTTATCCCACCAAGGAGGCCAGCAAAACTGAGATCAATTGGAACTGAAGTGAAAACTTTTTCAGGATGAAGGTCACTTCTGACAAAATAAGATGTTTCTGGCTGTCACAGAATGTCACAGCACCAGGACATTACTATAGGAGGATCCTTAGGAACTGGTCTCAACCCAGCTAACTGCAGCTGCTTCAGCAATGACCTTCCCTCCATTACACGTTCTGTAATGGGGTTTTTTGCTGATGGTTTCTCAATGTTCACCTCCATACATAACTCCTCTGAGAACAATACAGTGCACAATGGCTTACATTGCCAGACTTCAGCTGACAAGTAGAGATATTTGTGCCATAAAAGTGCCAAGTAATGAGCAACTCAAATAAGAGAAAGCTCAGCTTTCTCACCATGACCTTCAAAGGCATCAGCATTGTCGATTCCCCACCATCAAGATCCTGGGAATGGGGAGGGAAGGTCACCGTCAACCAGCATCTTAACAACATCATATCTACAATAATAGATCCGAGGAAGGATAATCCGTAATAGATTGCTCACCTCACCACTTAAAACCTTCTCCAGATCCACAAGGCACAAGTCATATGTGTAATGCAAAACTCCCTGCTACTCAAGCTGATCAGAACTATAGCAACATTTAAGTAGCTCAATGTCCAGCATAGTGCAGTTCACTTGTATTGGTGACTATGTAACTATTGTCAATAGTTATAAAAACCCATCTGGCTCAATAATGTAGTTCAAGGAAGGAGATCTGCCATCCTTATCTGGTCTGGTCTACATGTGACTCCAACCCAAAGGGGCGGCATGGTGACTCAGTGGTTAGCACTGCTGCCTCAGAGTGCCAGGGTCTCAGGTTTGATTCCAGCCTTGGGTAACTGTGTGGAGTTTGCACATTCTCCCTGCGTCTGCATGGGTTTCCTCCCGCAGTCCAAAGATGAGCAGTTAGGTGGATTGACCATGCTAAATTATCCACAGTGTCCAGGGATATGGAGGGATTAACCATGGGGAAATACCAGATTAGGGTAGGGGGGGTTGGGGGTGGGTGGAATGCTCTTTGGAGGATCAATGTGGATGCAATGGGCTGAATGGTCTGCTCTCACACTGTAGGGATTCTATGAAACCCATAGCAATGTGGTTGACTCTTAACTGCTCTCTGAAATTACCACACCAAGTCACTCAATTCAAAGGTAATAGGTATATAACAAATGCCTATTTAGAATGAATGAGAGCAAGTTTGATGGCTCCTGCCACTGGCCAACATAGGTCCCTTCTCCCATCTTGGTTATATTGCTTATAATCTACAGGATAGCACCTTCCTCCTCTCCAACTTTAGCATCCAGAACACAAGAACAGCTGCCCAGTATAAAGGGAATAACATGACCTTTAAGTTCACTTAGAAATTACACATCATCGGAGTTTACACCAAAAGCCTTAAATTTCTACACATGAAAGATATGTGCCCTACTTAGAACATATTCCACAGAGGTCTAGCAGTTTGTAAGTATATGAAAAGCCGTACATTATAGCTCCTGAAAAAAAATGATGCAGGATTGCTTTTACAATAAGATTGTTCTTAAGTGAAGAGGAGGAAGCATTTGTCAGTTTTTACCTTAAACGTAGGCATTTGGTTAGCTTCCACATAGAATCCTGGCTGCCGGCCTTCATAAAGGGCCCCATAATCTGGCTCCTGTGGGAGGGAAGGAGAAATTAATTCAACATGTTCTAGCTTTATGCTTTAATCAAACAGGTCAAAAAATCCCATCTACATCTTGCAGCCAAGAGGAAAGGAACCAAGAGTCTGTGGAACAAATGCAGCACACCTTTCACAATTCATCCTCATCTTTCAATCTGACTTTTCCTGCACTTTTCAAAACTATCTACATCAATGTTGAATGCCATGTTGTCAGGGAGATAAGAGTTTTGTTTCCACCAAAACTATATCAATGTATCAGGAGGTTGTATTTGGGATTACAGCTCACTGCAGGCGATCCTTGCTCCTCTGTGCTGCCTGCTAAGTTCAGCTCAGTTCTGTGACAGGCTGACAAAATAGTGCTCCATTATCTTGTTTTATTTACCTCCCCTCACTCCCTCCCTCCTTCCCTCCATTTTTGACGTGCTACCTCCTCTTCTCCTCTAATGTAAACAATGCTGAAAAACAAAGGGTGAGTGAGTCAACATAGGCCATTCAGCCCTTTGAGCCTGCACCACCATTCAACATGGTCATCTCTGATCATGCAATCTCAGTATCACATTTCCATCCTCTCTCCATACCCTTTGATCCCTTTAGCTGCAAGGGTCACGTTCAGCTCCCTCCTGAACATATCTAATGAACTGTCCCCCAACAGCTTCCTGTGGGAGAGAATTCCACAGGTTCACAACTCTAAGTGAAGAAATTTTTCCTCATCTCAGTCCTGAATGGCTTGCCCCTTATCCTTAGACTGTGACCCCTTGTTCTAGACTTTCCCAACATAAGGAACATTCTTCCTGCATCTAACCGGTCTAGTCCCATCAGGATTTTATATCTTTCTATGAGGTTCCCCTCTAATTCTTCCAAATTCCAGTGAATAAAAGCCCAGTCGACTCGGTCTTTCCTCATATGTCAGTCCTGCCATCCCGGGAATCAGGCTGATGAACCTTCACTGGATTCCCTCAATACAAAGAATCTCCTTCCTCAGACTAGGAGACCAAAGCTGCACACAAAACTGAAGGTGTGGCCTCAGCAAGGCCCTGCATAACTGCAGCAAGACATCCCTACCCCTATACTCAAAAATCCTCTTGCTATGAAGGCCAGCATGCCATTAGCTTTCCTCACTGCCTGCTGCATCTGCGTGCCAACCTTCAGCGACTTTTCTATCATGACAGCCAGGTCTCATTGGACCTCATCTTCTCCTAAACTGACACCATTCAGATAATAATCTGCCTTCCTGTTTTTGCCACCAACGTGGATAACCTCACATTTATCCCCATTATATTGCATTAGCCAAGTATTTGCCTACTCAGCCAGTCTGTCCAAATCACCCTGCACCCTCTTAGCATCCTCTTCACAGCACACACTGCCACCCAGCTTAGTGTCATCTGCAAATTTGGAGATATGGCATTCAATTCCTTTGTCCAAATCATTAATGTATATTGTCCCAGCCCTGAACCCTGCAGTACTCCACTCGTCACTGCCTGCCACTCTGAAAAGGACCCATTTATTCCAACTCTCTGCTTCCTGTCTGCCAACTAGTTCTCTATCCACATCAATACATTACCTCTGATACCATGAGCTTTAATTTTGCTTACTAATCTCTTGTGCGGGACCTTGTCAAAAGCCTTTTGACAGTCCAGGTACACAACATCTACTGATACACCCTTGTCTACTCTACTGGTCACATCCTCAAAAAAATTCCACAAGATTTGTCAAGCATGACTTCCCTTTCGTGAATCCATGCTGACTAGGACCAATTCTGTCACTACTTTCCAAATGCTCATTTATTACATCCTTTATGATTGACTCCAGCATTTTTCCCACCATCAATATCAGGCTAACCGGCCTACAATTCCCCATTTTTTAAACAGTGGAGTTACATTAGCTACCCTCCAGTCCACTGAAACTCTTCAAGAGTCTACAGAACGCTGGAAAATGATCATTAATGCCTCAGCTACTTCTAGGGCCACTTCCTTAAGTACTCTGGAATGCAGAGCATCAGGCTCTGGGGATTTAACAGGTTTTAATCCCATCAATTTCCCCAATACCATTTCCTGACTAATAAGAATTTCCTACTGTTCTTCCTTCATGCTTGACCCTCTGTCCCCTGGCATTTCCTGAAGATTATATGTGTCCTCCTTAGTGAAGGCAGATTCAAAGTATTGTTTAACTGGTCTGCCATCTGTTTGTTGTCCATTATGAATTCACCTGATTCTAACTGTAAGCGACCTACATTTGTCTTCACCAGTCTTTATGTCTTCATATATCTACAGAAGCTTCTGCAGTCAGTTTTTATTTTTTCTGTAAGCTTATTTTCACATTCTATTTTCCCTTTCTGAATTAAACCCTTCAATCTCCTCTGATGAATTTTAAATTTCTTCCAGTCCTCAGGTTTGCTGCTTTTTCTGTCCAATTTAGGTGCCTCCTCTTTTGCTTTAACACTATCCCTGATTTCCCTTGTTAGCCATGGTTGAACCACCTTCCCTGTTTTACTGTTACTCCAGATGGGGGTGTACAATTGTTGAAATTCATCCACGTGTTTTTTAAATATCTGCCATTGCCTATCCACTGTCAACCCCTTAAGTATTCTTGGCCAGTTTATCCTAGCAAATGCATGCCTCATAAAGTTTGCTTTCTTGAAGTTCAGAGCTCTAGTTTCAGATTTAATTGTGTCATTCTCCATCTTAATGAAAAATTCTACCATATTATGGTCATGCCTCCCCAAAGGATCTCGCACCACAATGTCGCTAATTAATCCTCTCTCGTTACACAATACCCCATCTAGGATGGCTTGCTCTCTAGTTGGTTCCTTGACATATTGATCCAGGAATCATACATTCCCGGAAATCCTCCTCCATCACATTGCTACCAGTTTGGTTAGTCCAATCAATGTGTAGATTGAAGTCACCCATAATAATTGCTGTACCTTTACTGCATGCATCTCTATTTTCCTGTTTGATATAGTCCCCAACCTCTCAACTACTGTTTGATGGTCTGTACATAACTCCCACTAACGTCTTTTTCCCTCTGGTGACTGCAGCTCCACCCATACAGATTCCACAATGTCCAGGCTAATGCCCTCCCTTACTATTGTGTTAATCTCCTTCTTAACCAGCAACACTATCCCACCTCCCTTTCCTTTCTGTCTTTCCTGAAAACTGAATATACCTGACGTTGAGTTTGCATCCTTGGTCACCCTGGAGCCAGGTCTCTGTGACCCCAATTACATCATATCTATTAATAACTGTTTACGCAGTTAATTCATCCACCATATTACAAATGCTCCTCGCATTGAAACACAGAGTCTTCAGGCTCTTTTTTTTTTACATTTCATGCCTTTTGTCTTTGGTTTCTCTGCCTTCCACTTTCACTTTTCCCCTTACTGTCCTTTGTTTCTGTCCCTACTTTACTTCCCCTTGATTCCTGCATTTGTTCCCATCTCCTTGCCATATTAGTTTAAACCTTCCCCAACAGCACGAGCAAACACTCCCCCTACGATATTGGTTCCAGTCCTGCCCTGGTGCAGACTGTCCGGTTTGTACTGGTCCCCCCCTTCCCCGGAACCGGTTCCAATGTCCCAGGAATTTGAATCCCTCCCTCTTGCACCATCCTTCAAGCTACGTATTCATTTTAGCGATCATGCCATTCCTACTCTGACAAGCACCTGACACTTGTAGCAATCCTGAGATTACTACCTTTGAGGTCCTACTTTTTTGTTTAACTCCTAACTCCCTAAATTCAGCTTGTAGGACCTCATGCCATTTCTTTCCCCTATAAAATTGGCGCCTGTATGCACCATGACAGTTGGCCGTCTACCCTCCCCCTCCAGAATGTCCTGCAGTTGTTCTGAGACATCCTTGCACCAGGGAGGCACCATACCATCCTGGACTCTCATTTGCAGCTGCAGAAACGCCTGTCTAGTCCCCTTACAATTGAATCCCATATCATAATCGCTCTGACACTCTTTCTCCTGCCCTCCTGGGCAGCAGAGACAGCCACGGTGCCATGAACCTGGCTGCTTCCAACTTGTCCTGGTGAGTCATCTACCCCAACAGTATCCAAAACGGTATACCTGTTCTGGAGACAGATGACTTCAGGGGACCCTTGCACTGCCTTCCTACTCTTCCTCTGTCTGTTGGTCATCCATTCCCTTTCTTCCTCAGTAATTTTTATCTGTGGAGTGACCAACTTACTGAACCTGCTATCCATGATTCCCTCAGCCTCATGGATGCTCCAAAGTGAATCCAGAGCTGTCAAGCTGGCAGGAGTCACGCTAACAAACCCAACTCATTTTAAGGTCTTGTACCCACGAGGGTAGCATTTCTGTCTTCTGAGTCAGAACTTCTATTCCAGAGACCTGAGAACATAATCTAGGCTGAAACTTTAGTACAGTACTGAGGAGGTGCTGCAGTGTTGGCCAACCAATTTGAGACCTTAAAGTAAGGACCCCATCTTCCTGTAAGCTGGACATTGAAGATCCCACTTATACAAAGGAGGTCCGGTCAGTTTGCTCAATATTTATTTCTCAACCAAGTCATTGAAATAGATCTTTTGGCCTTTGACTCATTTCAGGGACATAGCTGTGCATGTATCTGGCAGCTGTGTTTCTCACTTTACGTCAGTTGGTGTGTTTCAAAATGATTATCACATACCTTGGAATATTATGAGGTTCTGACAGGTGCTATATAGAGGCAAGTCTTTCTTTTATCCTTCTGTGGCGAAGTGTAAAGCATTGATACCTCTGACTGAACACACAGTTAAGATTGGCTATTCTCCTTATGGGCAAGGTGGGTAAGAAACAGTGCAATACCTCTCCTTCAAGATCCACCAGTCTTTATTACCACTTGGACTGAGGCCAGGAATTCTTCACCTGATATGACTGTGGAAACACCATCACCACAGAAACCACACTGGTTCATGTTATACAAGACACTTGGCCAGAAATTATTGTGTCTCAGAAGCTCTGCTCACTGATATGTAAATAACAACTTTTGGACAGAGCTACTCAGTTGTTCTACTGGTTTGGTTTTTAGTTTTACAGACTACCACCCTACTATCTGTTCAGAGGCAATAACATCTCTTACCTTGTGTTAATGTAGTTAACCAGTCTTAGTCTAATGTAACCTGTTATCTTATTATTACTTAAAAGACAACAATGTGCTACTCAAGAATGTGTGTCTTCTGCTAAAGACTTATTGTGGTTAATCGTTATCTACTTAATACTAATAAGCCTCATCTTCAAGGTAAAACGTCACTTTTTGCAGCATCACAGGGATGGACAGATAATGGAGGCTTGTTAGTGATACTCACATTCCGGGAATACACTAGAATAAAATCCCACCTACTACAGCCTGGCAGTTCCAGCTTCAAGAAGTCTAATAGCCAAAAGCATCGGAACCAGGAAATCCGAAAGACTGCTTGGTGACAAAATAAGGTACATTAACATATTCCTGAATAAAACTGGGATTATGAACGAGACTCACTCTAAGATTATCCAATATTGGAGGATTTACAATCCAGATATGTACCTTCAATTCAATTTGTAAATTCACACCACACCTCTCTTTCACCAAAGAGTTGTTCTTTATTGATATCTGGGCCCAGTCTCAGTCCATTTCATTATCATTGACCTGATTCAAAGGACGGCAATATCAAGTATTGCCATAGACTTACCAGGCCATAGGGCTGCTCTCTCATAAGAGAGAGAGAGATGAGTGGTAGCTGTTTAGCCTGAGGGTCACCACCCCTCAGGCAATGAGAGAGGTTGAGGAGCAGAGTTCTTCATTGTCACCTCAGCTGGTGCAGAAACTAAATCCAGGCAGTTGGCGTGACTCTGCATTGCAAACTACCTGCCCAGCCAACTGAGCTAACCAAGCCTGTTCAAACTGTAAGAAACACAATCTCCGAGTTGGGGGTATCCAACCAGACAGATCAGCATGGACGTTAGATGCAAGCGATGAAGGCATTGTTCCTTCAAGCTGGTTACCAGTTGACTTTACATACTTACTGCTGTGCCAATTTTTTCCAAGGTCTCCTCATTTATTGGGTAACGGAGTTTCATCTTCCTGTATAGTGGATTCTTTTCATAGTAGTTGACTAAGTCAACCAGGCTGTCAAACTCCGAACTCCCCAGGATGACGACCTGGCCCTCCTGCTGGACACGACAGTGCTTGATCTTTCCTTCGGCACTGTTTGGAAAAGACAGCAGAGAAATGGGTAGGCTCTGTGGTAGCATTGTCACCTCATGAGTTTGGACTGTGGATTCAAAATATACCTGAGGTCTCGCCTGCCCTTAAATGGCCCATGGTGCTTTGAGAGCAGGAGAATTCTGCCCAGAGACTGTAAGTTAATGTCCCAGTGAAGAAACTTCTAGACTCAATGTGTGGTGTGAAGGTGGAACTCATAACAGACTTAGATTGTAGTGAACAATACAGATGCTTTCAAGAGGAAACTAGAGAAGCCCATTAGGGAGAAGTGATTAGATAATAGATGGGTAGCACAGTGATTCAATGGTTAGCATCGCTGCCTCACAGCGCCATGGACCTGGGTTCGATTCCAGCCTTGGGCAACTGTCTGCACAGAGCTTGCACGTTCTCCCCATGCTCTGGGTTCCTCCTATGGTCCAAAGACATGCAGGCTAGGTGGATCGGTCATGCTAAATTGCCCCGTAGTATCCAGGGATGTGTAGGTTAGATAGATCAGCCATGGTAAATATGGGGATAGGACAGGATAGGTCTGGGTAGGGTGCTCTTTCAAGAGTTGGTATGGACTGAATGGGCCAAATAGCCTCTTTCTGCACTGTAGAGATTCTATAATTATGGTGGTAGGTGTAGATGAGAAAAGATAGGAGGAGGCTCGAGTGGAATACAAACAATATGGTGAAATATTGCAGTATGCTACTGTGCAGAGAGACCTGTATGTCCTTGTGCTTGACCAATAAAAAAGTTGGATTGCAGGTGCAGCAGGCAATTAAGAAGGCAAACGGAATATTGTCCTTCATTGTTAGAGGGATTGAGTTTAAAAGCAGGGAGGATCTGCTGCATCTGTATAAGGTGCTGGTGAGGCCACATCTGGAGTACTGTGTACCATTTTGGTCTCCTTACTTGAGAAAGGATGTACTGGCACTGGAGGGGGTGCAGAAGAGGTTCACTAGGTTGATTCCAGAATTCAGAAGATTGCCTTATGAGGAGAGATGGAGTGGACTGGGACTATACTCACTGGAATTTAGAATGAGGGAGGATCTTTTCGAAACATGTAACATTTTGAAGGGAATAGATAGGATAGAAGCAGGGACATTGTTTCCATTGGCGGGTGAAACTAGAGCAAGGGGGCATAGACTCAAAATAAAGGGGAGCAGGTTTAGACTGAGTTGAGGAGGAACTTCTTCACCCAAAGGGTTGCGAATCTGTGAAATGCCCTGCTCAGTGAAGCAGTTGAGGCTACCTCATTGAATGTTTTTAAGGCAAAGATTTTTGAACAGCAAAAGAGTTAAGAGTTAAGGTGAGTGGGCGGTTAAGTGGAGCCGAGTCTCAAAAAGATCAGCCATGACCTTATTGAATGGTGCAGAATGCTTGATGGGTCATCTAGCCTACTCCTGCTCCTGTTTCTTATTGACTGGTTGGGCCAAATGGCCTATTTCTGAGCTGTATATCCAATGCAGTTCTATGTAAGCTAGCTGGTAAACTGAATTCACTAAATTGGAAATATTATGGCTTGGCAGAAAATGCCCTTTAAGAAGTGTCAGTTGTCATTGAAACACAAATGGTTTATCAGTCTCTTTCAGGGAAGGAAATCTATCAAATCCAATCTAGAGGGGTCTCCTGTGCAGACTTAATGCCTACAGGGCAATGATGAATGGTCAATAAATAGGGTTTCATCAGTGTTGTCCACATCCCAATACACATTTCACAAAAACACTTACCGGAAAGAGATTGCATATGAGTTGGGCTCATTCCGTTTACGAACAAGGAAGGCTCCATCTCTTGGCACCCTCATTAGCATATGCTCCGCCTCTGATCGCGATAAGTTGGCATGGTACCATCTGGGTAACAAAGAATGAAACTAGTAAACAGTTGTACAACAAATGTTACCCATTAAAGATCATTTTCCCAGTCTGTAAATATCATAGAATACATGATAGTACACACAATAACACCAAGCAAAAGAAAAACAATACAGAATCTGGTAATCTGAAATGAGAACAGAAAATGCTGGAAACTCTCAGTAAGATTGAGGATCAATGATAATACCACAAGGAATATGAAATAACTCCACAGAGGCTGGGTATCCCATCATCAAGTCACATTTTATTCATACGTGGAAAGTTCGTGACACTGATCCAGCTCCCACACAGCCGGCTCTCAGAATCAACACAACACTAACTCTCCTGTCTGTATCTGTCAGCCAGGGCTCCCTGACTGGACCAGATTAACAGCCCCAATCAGGGAACTCATATTCAATACCTCCATCTGGCTGCCCTCATTACAACCACTACATCCCACCACCTCTGAGTCCGAGGACATTGGTCAGTTCCTTTTGTTGTAGCTCCTCCTGGGACATTTTAGCACTGGGTCAGTTTCTCCAACTCTGCCTCTGATAACGCAGAGGAGCTCACCTCTTGTGCCCAGAGTATCTCGGAAGAAATTCATCCTCCTCTTCAGGCAGCAAAGGCATTGAAGCGGCGACATCTGCCATGTCTGTCTCAGATTCCGCTCGTTGGACAGGGAGAACCCATGGGTTTTGGAACAGTCGGAAAGGCTGTCGAGGAGCCGGGCATGTTTTGGTCCTGCACCGTTTGCGAGTTTGCAGCTTTCATATGGTCCATGTACTTGTTCAGCACTGCCTCACCTACCCAACTTTGTACATCACTGCACCTGACCTAGCGTCTACCATGCCTCTTACCCATGGAGGGCCATTCCCATGGTTCCGACACCAAACTTCGTTCTCTTAAGTAAACTGTCTCTCTCGCTTAGTGGAGTCTGCAGCCAGCATTGGCATTCCTGATGCCGTTTCAACCGTCCCCCCAACAGGTTTGGGAAGATCAGATTTAACCTGGTGTGGAATATTCTCCCCATTGGCAACTCTGCTGGAGCTATCCCTGTAGTTGCATGAGGGGTGGTCCTATAATCAATAGGAACTGGGGAAGTTTGGTATCTAGTAGACAGTTTCTTTAAGGCTGCCTTCAATGTTTGGACAGCTCTTTCTGCCAGACCATTGGATAATGGATGGTATGGAGCTGTCCTTATATGATGAATACCATTCGACTTTAGGAAATATTCAAATTCCCTGCTGGTAAACAATGGTTATCTGTGATCAACACTTCCAGAGTCCATACACTGCAAAAGATGTGTAAAGTTCTTCTATCATTGTTCCTGTGCTTGACGAATGAACTCTATGCACGTCCAGCCACTTTGAGTGATCATCCACAGTGACTGAGAACATTAAGCCCATGAAAGGACTGGCATAGTCGATGTGTAGCTGAGTCCAGGGTTTATCTGGCCATTCCCACAAATGTGGGGGAGCTGCTGGTGGTAATTTTTGTCTTTGTTGGCATTCTGGGCACTTTCCCACCAACGTGGCTACATCTGCATCCAATCCTGGCCACCAGATATAACTTCTCGCTAACATCTTATTTTGGAAACACATGGATGACCCTGGTGGAGATCAACCAAATCTGAAACTCACCCAGCAACTCACATTAACATGACATCCTCTACTGAGAGGGATTGGGCATTTATCCAGCTGCGAAAAGTGGTTTATTGTTTGTTTGAAATCCCCACAAACGCAAACCAACCTGTTGGGCTTCACATTTGGTAAGACTGGTGCTGCCCATTCTGCAAAGTGGACTGGTTTAATGATTCCTTCGCTCTCCAGCCTCCTGATTTCTGCCTCTACTTCTCCCCATAAGGCAAATGGCACTGGGCAGGCCTTGCAGAATCATGGAATTGCTTCCTGGTCAAGATGCAAGGTAGCCTTGGCTCCTTTGGTAGTCCCTAGACCTTCCTGAAAAACTTCTCGATATTTAGTTCGTATTTCACACAGGCAGCCATTTTCTAATCAAAAAATGTTGAGCCAATCTAGGTGAATCTTTCTCAAACAATTTCACCCCATCAAGTTGGGTCCTCAATCTGTAAAAGTTCTTCAGTATAAGTTCTCAGTCTAGTCAGGGTCTTGCGCAAACTTAAGGGTTAAAGACTGCTTCTGTAATCACTGAAACAACTGTGTCATATCGTCCACCATCAGAACAGGGTGACCATTTGAGCAGACACTTATTTTGATTGGCTCTGATTTGGATGTTGCTAAGCAATTTAACTGTTGCAAACCAGATATAGGTGGATTTTCCAGGGTGTGCACTCTCTTGGTTACCAGCCTGTGAGTTCTCTTACTCGATCTAGGTCTGGTGGGGCTTTTTTGCCATCTGAAGTCCACATACCAGCAGCAACTACAATGGCTCGCCGGCCCCTGATCCTGAAGAAAATTTTAACCATTTGGCTAAGGCTTGGCTTTGTTTTGGGGTTTTGCTGTTCAGGATATGTCCTGAGTGAGGCCATGCAATTGTCTTCACTCAAGTGGCGTTCCCCAAGCTCAGTCGAACTGGTGAGGGTGTCCACTTCCATAAGAATATCCTGTAACTCATATGTTCCACTTACCGTGTTTCCAATGACAGCCAGTTGTACTGCCTGCTTGAAGTCCAGTTGGGCTTCAGCTAGCAGCTGCTTTTGCACGGTTACATTAATTAATCCCACATACCAAACAGTGTCTCAGCACCTCATTAAGAGTTAAACCAAAGTCACATGCCTCTGCCGGTCATCTTAACTAAGTCAAAAATTCAGTCAGATTCCCCTGGTTCTCAAATTGCCGGAGCCGGCTCTCAGAGTAAACAGAACCTCTGACACAGATAGTAGGAACTGCAGATGCTGGAGAATCCGAGATAACAAGGTGTAGAGCTGGATGAACACAGCAGGCCAAGCAGCATCAAAGGAGCGGGAAAGCTGACGTTTTGGGCCTAGACCCTTCTTCAGAAAATATGCAGTGTACAGGGGGAAATGCAGAGTAATAGGCTGGGGGGTGAGAGTCTCGGAGGGGGTATGCTCTTTGGAGAGTTGGTGTGGACTTGTTAGGTTGAATGGTTTATTTCTACACTGTAGGGATTCTATTCTATGCCATATTCTATGAGGTCCACCTGGGCTGACCTCTTGACAATCATTACAGTGTAGGAGCAGAAGTAGGCCATTCATGGCTGATCTGATCATTCTCAAATCCACTTTCTGCCTTGTTCTGATGACCCTCGAGTCCTTATTTGATTAAAAATCTATCTCAGCCTTGAACACAGCCCTCTACGGTAAAGAATTCCAGAATCACTACCCTCTGAGAGAAGAGATTCCTCAATCTGTTTTAAATGGATGACACTTATTTTGAGATTAGGTTACGAATGGGTTCCATTCTTGAGTTTTTCATAAGTCAATTTGCATGCAAGTCAGAATGCAACACAGTACAATATAAAATAGCCATTTGTATGTACAAGCAAAAGCTGCATGTTGGATCCTTAAAATTAATGTTAATACACCCCTGTATGGGATCTTGTTTGTATGAGCTTCCATTAAAATGGACATTAGTAAACTGGGGACTGCCTATATATCATCTGGTCCTCGACTCTCACAAGGGGAAAACCCTTCCACATCCACTCTATCAAGTCTCTTAAGAATCTTATATGTTTCAATAAGGTTGCTTCTCATTTTTCTAAACTCTAACCTACTCAACTTCACAAGTCAATCCCTCCATACCTGGTATCAGCCTAATGAACCTTCTCTGGAACTCCCTCCAACGCCAGCGTATTTTTCTGCTAGAAATCAAATGAAAGGTCATCGATGGGAAATATTAAAATGATCCTTGCTCAGTGTGTTCCTTGTATTTGTTTCAAATACAAATAGAAATTTAGGCATTGGTGTACTTATATTCCATAACTTTTGGAATACTGCATGCAGTTCTGGTCTGCCTGCTGTAGGAAAGATGTTGTGAAATGCTAAATGGTTCAGAAAAGATTTACAAGGATGTTGCCCAGGGCTGGAGTGCTTGAGCTATACAGAGAGGCTGAATAGCCTGGGGCTATTTTCCCTGGAGCATCAGAGGCTGAGAGGTGATCTTATAGAGGTTTATAAAATTATGACGGGCATGAGGGGTGAGTAGACAAGGTCTTTTACCTGGGGTGGGGGAATCCAAAACTAGAGGGCTTAGGTTTAAGGTAAGAGGGGAAAGATTTAAAAGGGACCTAAGCGGCAACATTTTCACACAGAGGGTGCTGTGTGTATGAAGTGAGCTGCTGGGGGGAGTGGTGAAGTCTGGTATAAATACAACATTCAAAAGGCATCTGGATGGGTACATGAATAGGAAGGGTTTAGAGGGATATGGGCCAAATGCTGACAAATGGGCCTAAATTTACTTAGGTTATCTGGTCGGCATGGACGAGTTGGACCGAAGGGTCTGTTTCTGCACTGTCCACTCTGTGACTCTATAACTCATCTCCAACTGTCTACTGAGTGTTTAACTCAGTCCAGGCATTGGTTGCCATGGTAAAGTACTTTAACAACTTTTTGTCAGTAGTTGATGGGTTCTGCTACTGTCTCTAGTTCTAAGGACTCTGGTGTATTATCTTATCTTCTTGGCTTCAACTCTAGTAATGTTCAGAGATTCACCAAAGATCCTCAGATAGCACCTTCCAAACCCACAACAACTTCTGTCTAGAAGGACAAGGGCTGCAGATACAAGGGAACACCACCATCTTCAAGTTCCCCATCAAGGCCCTCACCATCCTGACTTGGAAATATAACCGTTCCTTCACTGTCGCTGGGTCAAAATCTTGGAATTCCTTGCCTAATTACATTGTGGCTCAACCCACAGCAGGTGGACTGCAGCAGTTCAAGAAGGCAGCTCACTGCCACCTTCTCAAGAGCAACTAGTGATGGGCAATAAATGCTGGCCAGCTAGCGATGCCTATATCCCACACATGAATGAGAAACAATCACTACAGTATCATACAGGACAAACGGAGTGTGTATGATCAGTAGCTGCATCATCTTTTTGGGTAGGCCATTCGCTCTTTGTACCTGCCAATCAAAAAGATCATGGCTGATCATGTTTAGATGCTGTTCAGAAATTCAGTCCTTGTGGGAAACGGCATTAGACTGAAAGCAACAGACAGCTGGTTGTGAAAGAAGCTCATACACATAGAACCTGTGTTGCCTGTTGGACTGATCTGTCACCAGCAGAGGGCAGATGCTCTTTCCCAGATGAATTCTACATTAAATTCTGCAAAGATAAGGCATGCCCTCCATTGGCACCGGCAGAAAACTGTTCACATAGAGCTGACTGGGTGCCACCTTTTGGACTAAAGTGAGATAAGAGATAAGCAGTCTGCAGAAAACACAAAAGGAAAGTCACGATACAGATAGAACAGAGGCCAAAGGTACAGTAGATACCCCACTCAAAGGCCAGGCAGTGCAAACACTCTCTCCACTGAATCCTTTGGTGGAGGTACCTTCCAATGTGATTCTGAAGCAGACAGAGCATGAAAGGGTTCGATCACCAGCCTATGCCAAGTTCTTCAATCTGTTCTCAGGTGACAATGTCAGTGCTACAATGACTCTAGTGCTCCTGTTCCTGTTATCTCAATCGAAAACCCCAACACTGATTACTGCCTTGCTACAGGTTCAGAATGCACACAGTCGTTTACTTTCCACACTTTCTGCATGCCTTTTGCAAGCACATTCTTTCCAATAATGGTGTCCTTCCTCTTACTGTCACCATTTCCCTCACTCTTGCTTCATCACCTCCTTCTCCCTCTCTGTCACCACCTCCCTCTCCCACAGACACCATCTCTCTCTCCCTCACAGACACCATCTTCCTCCCCATGTCACCAACTCCCTCACAGACACCACCTCCCTCCCCCTCACAGACACCACCTCGTTCTCAAACATTCAGCTGCAATTGCAATTGGGCGCTAGCTCCTTCCTGCAGCTAAATGCCTGGAACACTGAACAAAAAGTCCCCTTACTCTACTGGAGGGACTGACATGGTACTTACTCTTTGCTTTCATGTGCATTAGTCTGAGGTACGGGCTCTGTCAGCCGCATTTCAAACTCATTGCAGCGGAGAGGCACCTGTTGATAGTGTGTTATCAAGGCGTAGAGACTGTCGAACACCAGGTTGTCTGTTAGGTAGAATTTGGGGTTACCCGCTTCCTGACGGGAATGGATACGGCAATGCTGCACCTTTCCAGAACGCCTGAAAGGACCGGAAAAATACATTGAGATTCATTTCTTTTCAATAAGCTAGAGGTGAAGTTTACCAGGGAATAAAACTTCCCAGCCTGAAAGCAATGACAAAACAGAAACTAATTAGCCAGATACCCCTGTTGCGTGAGCCAACGGTGGACAGCTTGGGGCATGTAGAGCAGGGGTGGGTGACTCACCATCCTCCCCTTATCCCTGAGCTCACCCCTATAACATCAGAGGTGGCAGCCCCTCACCAAATGTGAATAGATAAAGGTTAATTAAGTTTGTTAGAACTCTATTCTCCCTGCTGTTACCCTGTCCACACTATCATTGTGTCACGGGCAGTCGGATGGAACTTGGCAGCTTGTTCTCTTTATAAATGGCAGGAAGCAAGTGGTGGGGTTCTACCTTTGGAAGCTGCACTTTTCCCAATGAAGCACCATACCAGGAGTACCCCTGCTTCCTTCCTAGCCGTATGGCTATTAAAACACAGTTGTACCCTGCTCCTTAGGTGGCAGACTGCCCCTGTGCAAAGCCCGCTGACTTACTTCACTCCGAGATCCATCAATCTCCTTCCTGGACTTTCCTGCAATGCCAGCAAGGTCCACCATGAGGCTCTAACACCACAGGGACTGTTACAGTGACCAGTCAAAGGTGGCTCTGCATAATTCAGCCTGCCTCCAGAGCATAATGGTCTTTGTCTGTTGGCTTCTCACTGACTTTTTATCTGGGGGGTGCGAAACATCTGCTCACTCTCCCTTGCAACTTTCTGTCCCATCTCTGGGAAGCAGTCCCCTTTAGCCATTCCTATATTTCACAGCTCACAATAAACCTTAACCATATCATAACTCTCCTGTAAACTGTAATACATTGCTCAGAATCAGAGACTTGGGAGGAGATATAGTATTAGGGGGTAAGTATGACTATGATATGCGAGTAGAACAGCATACAATCTCACAGGAAGCGATGCAATGTCACATAATCTTGCAGCATTGTGGTCAGATAAGGTCACTGTAATATGTTTCTTACATAACGTTAATGTTCTCCTTACTTCGGGTGACTGTGAATATTCTTCAGCAGCAAAATGAGATTTAAGAACATTAGATAAACTATAAGATTATGAGACAAAGTAACAGACATAGACCATTCAGCCCATTGGGTCTGCTCTACTATTCAATGAGATCATGGCAGATCTGATAATCCTCAATTCCACTTTCCTGCCTTTCCCCATAACCCTCTATTCACTTACAGATTAAAAATCTGTTTATAACAGCCTTGAATATACTTAATGATCCAGCCTCAGCAGCCCTCTGTGGTAAAGAATTCCATAGATTCACCAAACCCAGAGAAGAAATTTCCCCTCACCTGTGTCTTAAATATGTGACTCCTTATTATGAGATTCTGCCCTTTGGTCCGAGACTCTCCCACACAATCTTTCTGAATTTACCCTGTTAAGTCCTCTAAGAATCTTCTATGTTTCAATTAAGTGGCCTCTCATTCTTCCATATTCAAATGAATGCAAGCCCAATCCACTCAACCTCTCCTCATAAGATAGTCACCTTCAATATAAACTTTTATAAACCATCTGACATGATCACCATATACAACATTCCATTTACCCATTCCCAGTATTCTATTTCTCCCTTAGTTTCACACTTCTTTTTAACTACCTCTATATACCATCTAGTTCCCCTGGAACCATTCCACACTCAAATATCTCTGATATATTATACTTTTCATCATTCTATACACCATTAGTATATCACATCCCATCTAAGATATAGGGTTCTTGTCTGGACTTACCAGAATGAGAGCGTGTAGTCACCCACAAAGGTTTCACTCTCACGCACCAGAAATGAGCCGTTGGGAGCCCCAGTTTCAATGCAGTACTCTGCGAGGAGCTTTTCTGCGATCTGCCGCCCGTCACGGCCTGCTCCAAGTTTCCCATGGAACCACTTCTCTGTCACATGAAGGTCTGTACAACTACAGGGCTGGAACAGCGAAGAGTATTAGCATTATCCTTATGCTCATTTATATCGGTGTTGGTGGAGGGAGGGAGGACTCATGGGGCTATCTTACCCAGCCAAACCCTCCCCTCTCCAGCACACATGTTATATCGTAGAATCATACAATGCGGAAGTGACCCTTTGGCCCATAGCTTCTGTACCACCAAAAAATACACTTCAACCTACATCTGTCACACTTTCCCACTTTAGGCCCATAGCCTTGAGTATTATTGGTACTTCAAGTGTTTATCCAAGTACTTTTTAAAGGTTGTGTGGCTTCCCACCTCAACCACCCTCCCAGACAGAGCATTCCAGGCCCCCACTACCCTCTGGTTAAAAGATGTTTTCCTTAAATCCCCTCTAAACCTCCTGCCTTTCACTTTAAAACTATGCCCCCCTGTTACTAACTCTTTGACTAAGGGGAACTGCTGCTTTCTATTCACCCCTGGTCCATACTTTTCATAATCGTATACACCTCTATCAGATGTCCCCTCAATCTTCTCTGCTCAAAAGAAAACAACCTGAGCTTATCCAGCCTCTCTTCATCGCTGAAATGCTCCATCTCAGGCAACATCCTGGTGATCCTCCTCTGCACTCCCTCCAGTGCAATCACATCCTTCCAGTAGTGTGGTGATCAGAACTGTATATAGTACAGTTCTTACTTTTCTTACAAATTTTAAAAGGTTCAAATCTTTATCGTCATACAGAAATTACTTCCCATGTTTAAATCTTCAGTTTATTCAAGGACCAGCTGACAGATTAAAGAATATTCAAGAAATAATTTGTGTGCGAATGTCTCTTTCTGTTTGGTGCCTATTGTTATCTGCCCTTTGTTTTCCTGGACATCTGAAATTTTCATTAACTCTTGGTACTTGCTGATCTGGACATTTGTTACCTGTTCTGTTTGAACCTTTTGTTAAACATGAATAGGGGCCAGTGAATTGCAAAAGAATTAAAAATATTTGTACATTGTTGGGTTATGACACCTCTTCATACACAACAATGGAAATCTTTCATCCATCATGCATGTGTTGATAAATATGAAGGGAAGTGGATAAAACACATATCAGCAAGACCTGTCTGTCAAAATCAATTGCAGAGCAGACATCCTTTCGCTTTGTGTTTTATTGACTGTGAAGTGCTAAGTGCTGTCCCTGGGTCAGAGCCATACTACCAGACCATAAGTAAGCTTAAAAACTTTACACAGATCATCAATATTTTAGAACTTCAAAGCTAAATGTTTTTGTTGCTTGATAGAGTTAAAAGGCCTGGCTGTTTCTCGTCTGTACTTAAGTAGGAGGAAGGGTAAGGTAAAAGCAATGTTTCATATTCTCAGCAGTTATATCTGGGGAGTTGAGGCTTGTGGTTTGCACATCCTGCACTCTATGGGGAATTTCAGATGCTCCTGATGGTCTGATGACCAAACGAGCAGGAGATGCCTCCAGCTGGAACAACTCCTGCTCCAGATTTTTGAGTTGGAACATCAGCTGGAAATGATGGGCATGTCCAACAGGCTGAGTGGTTCTTGGAGAGCACTTTTCGGGATATGGTCATCTCACAGCTTAAAGAGTCGCAGGCAGATAGGAAACGGGTGACTGCCAGGCAGAAGACAGGGAGCAGGCAGATAGTGAGTGAATTCCCCTGGGTGCATCTTGCTCAGAAACTGTTTATTAATCAACGAAAATGGTGAGAATGATAATTCTTCTGTGGAGGCCATTCAGAGTCAAGACCATAGCACTTGGGTGGTCTAGCTGCTTGGGGTGGTGGTGGAGGAAGAGGGAGTGTGGAAGAGCAAAAATGATAAGGGATTCATTAGCGCAAGGAGCAAATGGGACTCGAGATAACATGCTGTTTTACCCCTGGTGCCAGGGTCAAGGGTGTCATGGAATGGAAGCAGGAGGGTGAACAGCCAGAGATTATGGTCTCTGTTGGGACCATTGATATAGGTACAAAGAGATTGATGCCCTGCAAGGAACCTTTAGGAATTTAGATCAGAAATTGAAAAGCAAGACTGCAAAGATAGTAAAAGTAGGGTATCATATCTAAGACTGAAATTAGACCTGAGAGATGGGCAGGATTAGCAATGGAATGTTTCTGGTTGTAGAGTGATCAGAAACAATAGCGAGGATGATTGAAGTTGGGGAAGGGGTGCTCGCAGTCAAGGAATCAATCATAGCAGTGAAGAGGGATGATATTTTGGACAGATTGTCAAATGAGGCCATATGGTGGAAGTAAAAGCCACAAAAGGGGCAAACTATGAGGTGTGTAAGATAGACAGCAAGAGAATCAAATGTGTAATTTAACTTCATAGTAAGACAGTAATAATATGGAATCTGAATTACCTGAATATTAACTCTACTGCAAGACAGGGAGGGAGCAAAATTCTTAAATTGCATCCAGGAGTCCTTTTTTAGCCAATCAGTAGGAAGTCCAACAAAGGAGGGGATAGTCTTGGACCTAATATTTGAAAGTGAGTGTAGGCAGGCAAAAGGCATATCAGTAGGTGAGTATTTTGGAGATAGTGACTATAACTCAGTTAGATTTACAATAGAGAATGATAAGGATGGGCCAGGAATAAGTGTACAAAACTGGGGCAAGGTTAATTTTACTCTGATCAGTTAAGAATTGGCCTAAGTGGACAGCTACTTGCAGATAAATTGTGTCCAAGCAATGTGAGCCAATGAAAGAGGAAGAAATGAGAGTACAGGACAAATATGTTCCCTAAAGACAAAGAGTGGGACCAACAGTAGAGGACCCTGAATGTCAAGAGACGTAAAGGTTAGGATTAAGAAACAAAGAGAAGCTTGTGGCAGATATTGAGGGCTCAATATAGCAGAGTTCCTACAGTATAAATAGTGCAGGGGAGAAATTAAAAAGTAAATTAGAAAAGCTAAGACAGTGCATGAGTAAGTTTTGGCAAGTTTTTTTGAAAAATAAAGGGCAAGAGAAGAACTAGGGAAAAAGTAAGGCCCATTAAGGACCATAGAAGTAACCTGTATGTGGACCCAGAAGATGTGGGCACAGTCCTCAATGATTACTTTGTGTTAGTCTTCACACTGGAAAAGGGCCTGTATAGAAATCAGGGTGCAGGACTGCCAAATACTACATCTACAGTTGGAGAGACAGGGGTTAATCGGGCACAGTCAGCATAAATGTCTTAAGGAAAGGTTGTGTTTGACAAATGTGATCACAGTATTTAAGATGGTACCTGAAAGTGTTGATGAAGATAATCATTTGATGTGTTCCACATGGACCATGGCAAGGCTTTTGCTCAGATCCCTTGTGGCAAACTGGTAAAGAAAGTAAGTGCCCAAGGGATCCAAGGCAAAGTGGCATGTTGGATCCAAAATTAGCTGAGAGTCAGGAAGTAGAGGGTGATGGTAGAGGGACATTTTGTAACTGGAATTCTGTTTCCAGTGGGGTTCTGCAGGACTTGGTGCTGGGTCCTTGCTATTTGTGGTATACATTATTGATCTGGACCTAAATGTAGGACGTATGATCAAGAGGTTCATGGACGATGTGAGAATTGGCAAGGTGGTAAATAGTCAGGACGATAGCGGTAAACTGTAGGAGAATATCAAGGGATTGGTCAGCCATGCACAGCAATGGAATGGAATGGAATTCAACCTGGAAAGGTGTAAGGTAATGCACTTGGGGAGGCAAGGGATTACACCGTGAATGGTAGGAACCTGGGAAGCATTAAACATCACAGGAACTTTGGCGTGTACATCTACAGATTCCCTAAAGGTAGCAGGGCAGGTAGATAAAGGTGGTAAAGAAGACACATGGGATATTTACCTTTATTAGCTGAAGCCCAGAATAATAGAGCAAGGTGGTTATGCAGGAACTGTATGACACACTGGTTAGGCTGCAAATTGAGTTCTGCATGCAGTTCCGGTCACATTATAGATGTGATTGGACTAGAAAGGAAAAGATTTACCAGGCTGCCGCTTGGGCTGGAGGGTTGGAACTCTGAGGAAAGATTGAATAGGCTGGGGCTGTTTTCCTTGGTGTAGCAGAAATTGAGAGGGGACCTGATAGACATCTATAAGTTTATGAAGCGTATTGATAAGGTGAATAGGAAGACACAATTTTCCCATTCATAGAGGTTGGTGGGCGGGGGGGAAAGAGGTCAATAACCAGGGGACGTAGATTTAATGTAAGAGGCAGAAGGCTAAGAGCAGAGTTGAGGCGAATCGTTTTCACCCAGAAGGCAGTCTGAAACTCACTGCCTGTATGAGTGGTTAAGTCAGAAACATTTAAGCAGCTTGCATTGCTGTAGCCTCCAGGGCTATGGGTCAAGAGCTGAAGAATGGGATTAGTGAAGGGATGTTTTTATTGACAGCTCTATATGGGCCAAATGGTCTCCCTCTGTACTGTAATTGTCTTTGAGTCTATGAGACCAGACTTGCAAACCAAATGATAACCAAGAAAGATTTAAACCTTTTGTTTGTGGGTCCATCTAGGATCTGTTCTTCCACACTCTTTCTTCAACTTATCTTGTGCTCCTTTATGGCTATACATATCATGTTCAGACTTTGAGGCTGTATTTACCACAATGTTATGTAGTTCTGTGTCCAACAGTAAGCTGCTTGATGCTTACTCACCTCCCTCTGTTCTTCCTCGTCTTCATTGGCTTGATTCCCTGATCTCTCCTCTGAATAGTAAATCTTGCTACTTGTGAGGACAAAGTAGTGTGGATTCCATTCCTAGAAAATCCACAGGAAAGCAAACAAGATGCCAAGTGGTAAGTACATCACAAGAAACCCATTACTGGCAACATCTAGTTAAAGAACAGACCTGGGCTATACGAAAAGCTGACAGAATGTTCTATGTTTTAGACATTCCTTATACAAACAATATTTTATGGAGTTAATTTTGAACCTGTAGAGACAGATGGAGTGGGCATGCAACGTGAACCTAATCCTCAATCAATAGACTATACCCTGCCTCAATGGCTTGTTTTCCAGAAACGTGACCCTTTTCTCATGTCCCATAATGCCCCTTACTGCCAAACAAATCCTAAATTGTGTAACTCACAAACATGTCAACAGACCCTTCGCACTCAATGTACCATCCTGTACTGCCATAATAGGAGCAGCAACTAATCGTTTTGTAAAAAAAAAAAAACAGCCTGGGGGAATAACCAGAGGATTATCTCTACACATACTTTGAGAATACTGGGTGGATTGGAAGGGCAGAGGACTGCAATGATTATGAACATTTTGGTTTTACATCCAATGTGCTTCCTAGTGCAGTGAAACATTTAGACTGGGACCCTGCTATAATGTGACGATGCAGCGGTGATTTTAACTGGTGTGTGCTGTGAAATTTTCAGGAAGCAGTGCTTTCTTTAGTTTGTATACACTCTGCTGCAAACCTCTCTAGTAAGGCTGTAACACAAAGTAGATGCAAGTAAATGTGATGTCAATGAGCTATCATCCAGGCTTAAAGAAGTGGATGTGCCATAGAATTGTTTGTCTCCTTGAAATGTGCTTTGATACTGAAAGGTTGGGAACGACTGTGCAATAACATAGAACTTGGTACAGATCTGTTTGGAAAAAAATTCACATATATATTTTGACCAATACAGCAAAGACAAATTAGATCCACCTTGATGTTCCAAAATAAATCATGGTGTGCTAAAGTATCAATCTTGCTCCACAACAGTCATGTTCACTGTATGTTTTGTGTTTTATCTACCATAGATTGCATTCCATTGCAGCAAAGTTAATATTTTCTAATGAGGTTATCTATCATATTTAAAACTCTAACCTTTCCTTTGAATGTACAAGTAGAACAGAACAGCAGTGTACACATCTTCAGTCTCCTACAGTCTAATTTCCAAACCAGGAATTTTCATGGGCATATTGTCATTTTTTCAGGTGAGGGTTATGAACAGGCATTTGCTTTCAAAAGGACATTTATTCAGAGGGAATGTAAACTTTGTGAAACAATTTCTTGTATAATGTACATAAATTAAATTTATCTAGTTCAATGATCAGCTTATTATCAGATGTTAACACACAGAAATAATAGCAGTCTAATATATTGCTTAAAGTCCATATGCTTACGATTTCTATTTTTAATTGTATTCAAGTGGAATGCATCTCTATCGAATTTATTTTGGCTGATGTGAAGAGTCAAGTCAATCACCAGCTTTGATCAAATCATTTGCAGTGAGACTATTGTGCACCATTATTATGGCTGAACTGAGGAAGCAAGTGCAAGACATAGTTAAAGGAGATCTGTTCGTCCGCATTAACAAATTTTTTCATCATTTACTGGAAATAATCTTTACACAGAATCTTTGAAAAGAGCTCCCCATTGAGCGTCTTATCCATAATGTAGCCTTGAGATTTAGACCTTGGAGGCCATGTTTCATAGTGGGATATCTGTGTACAATTCAGACAAACTGACTTGCGGGAGTAGCTGGTGTGCTCACTACATCCAATGGGTGAAAATAATGAAAGCTGTGGCATTGAGTCTTACAGATTAGGGTAAGGGTACTTTGAATTCTTGACTTAAATGACCTAAGAAATTCCTAATCTTGGTTGCTAGCTACTGGAAGAGCAGGAGTGAACAACCAAGACTATGATTACGTGTGAAGGTCATCATTGTCGAAGAGCCAGAAAGTAGTTACTACAAGACTCTTGACTGAGATACCAGAAAGCTGCTGCCTATGGGATTGAGTCACCAACTTCAGCAAAGCAGGGAGCAATGTGAACCAAAAAGAAAGTGAGGAACTAGCGACGGCAAACTTAAAAATGAATGAGTTTTGCAGCTGATGCTGGATCAGAATCTGCAGCTTGAACAATCAGCTAAGGCTGGAGTTCAAATCCAAATCTGGCACCTACGTGATTGATTGGATCTTCGAGGTACAAGATTCCATTCTTTATCGAGTTACTGATGTCGTTCTCAGAGTAGGTAGAAGTTGAGACCTCCTCATAAGCACTGCCCTCGGCCAGTTTCTTGTGCTGCAACGAAGGAAGAGATGAGGAATGAATAGGGAAACATTCCCTCCAGGATCCCAATTAGCGAAATTCCCAGCCACCATGTCCACTACAGCCTCCTTATTATAGTACATCAGTTTGTAAAATCCAAACTCCTTTACAGTGCTGAGAAACCTGAGTCCACCTCCATAACTAATCCCAAACCTAAGATTTGTTGAATTAAATTTAAATTTCCACGTTATTTATTCTTATTCTTATGTTTCTAGCTAATTTGTCCAGCCCTCTTAATAACTAACTTAGCAACTGAATCACTATGCTACAGTTCCCAATCTTCAGCTTGCTCTCCGCAATTTTACCAAAGTCCAGATCCCTACCTTCATGCTGCAATGATCTTCTCCACTTCTGGGCTCTTAAACAATTAGCAACATCCACTAACCTCGCACAGCTTCACTGATCTACATTACCATGTAAGTGTGGAGCTGGAGGAACAGAGCAGGCCAGGTTAGCATCAGAGGAGCAGGTAAGTTGACGTTTTGGGTTGGGACCCTTCTTCATTTTCTGAAGAAGGGTCCCTACCTGAAACGTCAGCTTTCCTGCTCCTCTGATACTGCCTGGCCTGCTGTGCTCCTCCAGCTCCACACTGTTATCTCTGACTCCAGCATCTGCAGTTCTTGCTATCTCTACATTATTGTGTATGCATGTTCTGTTAACAACCCAGGCTTCAACGACCTCAGAACTCATCACTCAAGAGCCAGTTCCTTCTGCAATTTTCAACTAGATCAAAACTTAAGTTGTGTCTATACAGAGCAGTCTGAGCTGTTAAACACATTGTTGTGAAGTGATAATAGCAACAGACATTTTTTATTTGTTCACTGGATGTGGGCATCACAGATTTATTTGCCCTAAGTTTAAATAATGATTCAGTTGTCTGAAAGTACTAAAAGTAGCAGCAGATTTCAGGGCTGTACATCCTCCTGAGCTTACGTCCAAGATGGCAGCAGAGTAGCAGCACAACGTGTGGGGTCCTCAGCCTGGAGCTCATGTAGACCGTCTGCTTCTCTTATTTTTTCTTTCTGTACATTTTTTTCATGTTTCCATTTATTATGGTACCTTACCTTCTTGTAATGACTTCTCCCTGCCCAGGCCTAGCAAAGAGGCTGCTTCCAGTGGCCTTGAATGGTCTGGCGTCTGGCAGCACGGTCTACCGATGTGGCAGTCTTGTCAAGGGAGGGGCGATCTTGGCCTGGTGTGGCAGTCTTGTCCAAAGTGTGAAGGTCTAGTCCCGGCATGGAGGTCTCGTCCTTGCTTTGGAGGCTCCTCTGGATCTTCCAGCGGCCCAGAGTGGAGGTTTAGTCCCGGGGTGGAGATCTCGTCCCGATGTGGACTGGGCCCAGCCCTGCACAGTGGTTTCAGCTCAATTTTCCAGCGTATCCCAACCCAGGAGCCGTTAATTGAACTACGATGAACGTGTACTATCTTTCCTTTTTATTTATGACTTCTGTAATTAATTTAGGCACCATGGTATGGTGGCTTAAAAAACTTCTCTGTATTTTTTTTTGTAAAAATACACGTGACAATAAATTGCTATCCTATATTAAAACACCCAGTACTTTCAGTTCTAAATGCCCTAACAATACTATAAATATGAAGTATCAGCCAGTTTGACACATCTTAACTGGAGGAAAGAGTAAGATTTTAAAAAACTGTTTCTTCTTCCTTGAGAACATTAAGCAAACCAAGGAGCTGACATTAATGGCAATGACTGACCTTAATCAGGAATTTTCTCCTCAATTGATTCGGTGAGGGAAGCCCGTCTGCAGTGATGTCAACTGGTTTGGTCAGCAGCATATCAGCAAACACCTTCTTGAAGACATTAGCCATATTTCGCTGTTGAACGATACTACAGTGATCTTCGATGGACAGAATAACAGGATACCTGCCAAACAATCCACAGCACTAGGGTAAATTTCAAAGAGCTGGCACACATGAACTCAGGTAGATTGCAACATCTCTAGCCAGCTCAGATCAGTGAATGCTGCCTTATCCTAAGCTAAATTTCACACTCCTGCATCTGCTAATGTTTTTACCGAGCTGTTTGAACATAGCTGTTAAACTCATCTATCCAGCACTCGCAACGCATCAGCCAAACAATGTCAAACTCTGACCCAACTGTAAAATCCGATCTACACAAGTTTAGCTGGTCTTTAAAGCAAGCCAAGGAACTTCAGCTGGGCATAATGTAGAACTAGTTTTTTAACAAATGTACGCAATCTTTTTGTGCCATTTATCTCTTTTGCCTGAGTGCAGTAAACACTCATTAGTGTCAAGGCTTTGACTAATGCTTCTCTATATATACTTTTCACAACAGGGGTGAGTAAAAACATGTGACACATCATCCTCATCCATCCAGAAAGTCTCTCCATCGCCGCATCCAACTGAATGTTAAGTGATTTCACGATCTTTTCTTTTACATCTTATAGTCACGTTGTCAGTATACTTTCAAGAGACATGCTCATGATGTCACCACAGCATGATTACATGTGACCTGAAGGTATAAAGGTCTCAGACTCTGTCTTATCCCAAGCTCATAGGATTTGGGATGCTGTGTGGTGGTGAAGAAGGTGTTTGATATGTTGCCTTTATTGGTCAGTGCAATGAGTCTAGGAGATGGGAGGCCATGTTGCAGCTGCACAGGACATTGGTTAGGCCACTTTTGGAATGCTGCATTCAATTCTGGTCTACCTGCTGTAGGAAAGATGTTGTTAAATTTGAAGGGGCTCTGAAAAGAGTTACAAGGATGTTGCCAAGCTTGGCGGGTCTGAGCTTTAGGGACAGGCTGGGGCTATCTTCTCTGGAGTGCTGGAGGCTGAGGGGTGACCTTATAGAGGTTTACAAAATCATGAGGGACATGGATAGGGCGAATAGCCAAGTTCTTTTTCCCAGGGTGGAGGAGACCAAAACTACAGGGCATAGGTTTAAGGTGAGAGGGGGAGGATTTAAAAGGGACCTAGGGGGCAACTTTTTCATGCAGAGAGTGGTGCGTGTATGGAATGAGCTGCCAGACAAAGTGGCGGAGGCTGGTACAATTACAACATTTAAAAGGCATCCAGATGAGTACGTGAATAGGAAGGGTTTGGAGAGATATATGTCAAATGCTGGCAAATGGGACTAGATTGATTTACGATATCTGGTCGGCATGGGAGAGTTGGACCAAAGGGTCTGTTTCCGCGCTATAAAACTCTATGATTCTATCACTTGAAGCATGAAATTCTACCAGAAGTATACTGCTCTTTTTAATCTAATAGCATAATGTTAGCCCAGACACTTAGGTGCCCATGAATGTAAAGTTTGTATACAATTATTAGCTGTAATAAATATCTGCTGGATTCCCTAATACCACAATATCATGCCCAGCTTCTTATGATACAGGAAATAATAGTCAGCTAAAACATGTTGTTGGAGTCCAGCAATTAGGATTGTTGTCTCTAATCCTCTAAATGCAAGCTCACTGCCAGAATTGAATTTTAATCTGAGCATGAGCTGTCTGCTCTACTATCCAGTGTAACAGTCAGAGCCAAGTCCACTTGAGGCAGCTCCACCCCGGCCTCCATCAAATTTCTGGCAGTTGCCTTGTCCCAGAAACATCACAAGGAGCAGTGGCCTTTGCTGATTCTGCAACAATCACCAGGGAAGGTGTTCAGTAATGTGAACTGGAGACTGAAGTGAGTCCAGGGTCTCACCGGGATAATGGTGAGGAGGAGCGGGGAGGGACTGGGTGGCACTTCAGATGGGGTTTTCATCTGACAGGCTTGAAACTTGCTGGTGGTCACCCCTACAGTGGATAAAATCCCAATGATGGTTGAAGGAGACTAGTACATGGCCATGAATTAGCTGTTTATGAACCCAATTAGTTCAGAGGTGAGTGGACTACCTGATGACTGTCATACCTGTGGTAAAATTGCAGATGGGAGTATAGGCAACTACACGGCACCGAAATCCTGGTGCCCAATATTATGCACCCCAACTCCTGCCTGCCCACCCCAGGGTGCTGAAACTTCCTACTCCTAGTGTAAATCCCTCTATGTTGCGACAACAAATATTCCAGTATTAGCCATAGGTGTGCCTTTCTAATCTGTGGCCATTGTCCTCTGCTTAAAATATTTGTTGACATCTATCGTTTCAGTGCTTTTATTTTCTTAAATGCTACCATCCAAACTCTTCTTAGACAACTAGACTTAACAGTTCAGGATTCCCCATCTTTTCTACATTAAGCCTATCCCCAAGCTGGGCATCCATCTTACATCAATTTATATAGAATGTACAACTTAAAAAAAGGACATTCAGCCCTAATGGTTCGTACTGGTGTTACAATTCTACACAAACCGTCATCTGTCCTTCTTCATCAGCAATTGCTTTCTTACTCAGGTGTTTCTTTAACTTTAAACTTAAATGTATCTATTCTATTCACCTTAATTATTCCTTGTGGTAGTGAGTTCCATATTGAAACTACTTAGGTTTTTACTCCTGAATTATATACTGGGCGCATTAGTGGCTATCTTATCTCTTGTGGCCTCTGGTTTTTGAACTTCCCCATAAGTGAGAACACCAATTCTAAATCAAACTCTTCCATAATGTTTATGTCCTTTATTGGGTCACCACTCAGATTTGTCTGTGGAACTGATAGTGGAATAGTGATAAAATCACTAAGCTAGTAGTCTCAGGACCCAGATAATTCTCTTGCACCATGGGTTTGAAACCATGCCAGTTGGTGGAATTTTAAAATTAATCAATAAACCTGAAATACAATGCTAGTCTTAGTAATTGCGTCAAGAAAATATCGTCAATTGTCATGAAAACTTTTCCAGTTCGCTGATTCCCTTAGGATGACATGGCAGCTCAGTGGTTAGCACTGCTGCCTCACAGCACCAGGGACCCAGGTTCGATTCCAGCCTTGGGTGACAATCTGTGTGGAGTTTGCACGTTTCCCCTGTGTCTGTGTGGGTTTCTGCTGGGTGCTAGGGTTTCCTCCCACAGTCCAAAGATGTACAGGTTAGATGCATTGGCCATGCTAAATTAACTGCAGTGTCCAGGGACATGTGGACTAGGTAGATTAACCATAAGAAATGCAGGGTTCGAGGGCTGGGTTTGGGTTGGATGCCCTTCTGAAGGCTGGTGCAGACGTGATAGTCTGGACAGCCTCTTTCTGCATTGTAGGGATTCTATGACTTTAGTAAAGGAAATGTACTGTCCTTAGCTGGTCTGGCCTACATGTGACTCCAGACCCACAGTAACGTTGTTTACCTTTAGCCACCCTCTGAAATTACCTGGCAATGGTATTTCCTTGAACAAACCAAAGTAATTCAGGATGAAAAGCAATACTGGCCTTATCAGTGAGGTCTATTTCCCAACAAAGAATCAATAAAGAATCCCATTCAGGTCTTCAAAGTCTCCACTGTGTCTCACTGACTGGGACTTAGCATTCTCGAGGTGCCATCTGAGCAGAGTACTGCACAGTTCAATCCAACTCTGATTTCCAGTCTACTACATCATCTTCAAAGCTTACTACTTTATTGGCTTTACTGGAAATGACAATTGTGGCTTTCAAAGAGAATTGAAACATTATCTGAAGTGGAAAAATCTCCAGGGTTAGTGTGAAAGGGAGGGGAGTGGGACTATATGAGTTGCTCTTGCAGAGAGCTAGTCGAAGCGATAGGCTGAATACCCTCTTTCTGTTCTGTAATCATACTTCAATTCTATGACAGTAAATCACCATGAAGAAAGGAAAAGGGAATGCAATCGTTTAAAATGGTGTCAGATTTTTACTGCTTTAACCAGTGCATACAATGCAACAGAACACTATTCACTCCAAATGGACAGACTGGCTGATGTAATATGTTGCTGCTTGGGTTCTTCTGCTTATATTCAAAATGGACAACACACAGGGGTTATCATGATAACAAAAAATAGACTTACTCTGAAGTCACAAAAGCATGTTCCTTGATTGTGGTCAGAACATCATTAAACTTGATTTTTGAAGTCAGAGTGTGACCATGGTAAATAACTGGCATTCCCTCAGGTCCGTCCCAGCAATCCACTGTAAGAGATGTCATAATTCGTTCAATACTTTTATAAATATGATCCAATCAAATTGTGCTGAGTTAACTCATTCACACTGTTGATCACATTAATCACTCTGTCCATCTATATCTCTCCTAAATTACTCATTTTTTAATGGTATCTTCAGTTTATTTTGACATAACAACCCCTTTACCATGACTACCACCTCTCCTGTAAGCTCTGACTCCAAATGGAATGCCAACTGCTGTCCACTGCTTCATCCAAAAGCTCCATATTCAGATGTGCTCCCCAAGTCATATCATCCATCTATTTTGCCACAGTTACCAACTGAGGCAGAACTTTGTTGTTGTCAGATGTTCACTACGCTGGGACCAACAGACATCCAGACAGAAGTGGGAAATGCAGGATGAGAAGTGGTTGCTCCTGATCCCTTACTGAAGGGCCTGTATTAGACACTGCGGCCATCAATGGAAGGTCAGTTCAGGCTCAAATCATTGTCCTCCAGGGTCAAAATAAAGGGGCATCAATTTAAGACTGTGATGAGGAGGGATTTCTTCTCAGATAAAAACCAAAAGAACTGCGGATGCTGTAAATCAGGAACAAAAACAAAGTTGCTGGAAAAGCTCAGCAGGTCTGGCAGCACCTGAGGAAGGGTCACCGGACCCGAAACGTTAACTCTGTTTTCTCCTCCACAGATGCTGCCAGACCTGCTGAGCTTTTCGAGCAACTTTGTTTTCGTTTCTTCTCTCAGAGGTTGAGAGTCTTTGGAACTCCTTGCCACAGAGGACTGTGGGGACATAGTCGTTGTGTATATTTAAGGCTGAGGTTGATAGATTCTTGATCAATCGGGGAATCAAGGATTATGATGACAGGGCAGGAAAATGGATGTGAGAAACGTCATCTCAGCCATGATCCGATCGAAAGACAGAGCAGGCTCGTGTGGATTATTCCTGTTCCTGTTTCTCATGGTCTTATGGCTGACTCAGGCCCCATGCAGGCGGGGAGGTAATGGCCTAGTGCTCCTATTGCTAGACTATTTTCCAGAGACCCAAGTAATGTCCTGGGGATAACACAGTGTGGAGCTGGAGGAACACAGCTGGCTAGGAAGCATCAGAGGAGCAGGAAAAGTGACATTTCGGATCAGGACCTTTCTTCAGAAAAGTGGGTCCCGACCTGAAACGTCAACCTTCCTGCTCCTCTGATGCTGCCTGGCCTGCTGTGTTCCTCCAGCTCCACACTGTGTTATCTCTGACTCCAGCATCGGCAGTTCTTACTATCTCTAATGTCCTGGGGACCTGGGTTTAAATCCTACCATGGAAGATGGTGGAATCTGAATTCAATAAAAATCTGGAATCAAGAGTCTAATGATGACTGTGAATCCCATTATCAATTGTTAGGAAAAGCCCATTTGGTTTGTTAATGTCCTTTAGGGAAGGAAAATGCCATCCCATCTGGCCTACATGTTACTCCAGAGTCACAGCAGTGTGGTTGACTCTTAAACTGCCCTTGGAATGAGTAATAAATGCTAACCTAGCCTGCAACACCCTCAACCCTTAAATGAATCTTTAAATAAAAGCACATACAGTTATTCTGATGAAGTGCTGGCTAGAGCTCAGCGACTGAGCGTAAGTCTGTATCCCCAGGAGGCAAAAAATAGTTCTGTCTAAAGGTGACTGACTTGAAATATTAGCTCTGTTTTACGACCTCCAGTAGTACTGCCTGATATGCTGTGCATTTGCAGCATTTTCTGTTTTTATAACTTTAAGTTGTGAGTTTCTCACAAAAGTCTTTCTTTAATTCCGCTTTTTAGATCCAATACTGTGAAATATTCGGGCAGCCACCACTCACTATAGACATGTCCCTTTGATAAGAGGCCAGACCACAGAAATCAAGTGTTTGATGCCAGAGTTAGAAATGCAGGTTGCATTAAGACTCAGACAGATCAGCTTCCAATCAACTCTGGAGCTGTTGATGTTCAATAGGCACTTGTATTTAAGAGTTGACTTCTCTGCACTTCAACCTCATGCTCTTTGGTTGGATACAGGGTGTAGAGAAAGGTGGGTATTTTGGAGGATCTCCTTGAGGGTCTGCTCCTGGGCCTGGCAAAAGTAGCCATCAATAGGTCCAGGCAGTGGGCTGTGGAGGGCATCATAGTTCCTGACTGCCTGCCCTTCTTCCAAGGCCATGTTTGCGCCCAGGAATCCTCTGATGGAGCATGTGGTGTCCACTAATATCCTCAAAGCTTTTGGAGGTAAGTGGCCACCGCAATGGGTACGCAGCCTTATTTTTCCGTCCAACTCCATTTTACTTTAGTCCCCTCCCTCTTCCTCCACCCTTCCCTCTCACTTTTGGTATAGTTGCACTGCCCCTGATGGGCTGTGCTTGTAAATTGTTCTTTTAATTAGAAACGTGGGTGATTCGATGGTGGTAAAAGAAACTTTAGTTCTTGGTGCTTGTGGAGCAGCAATAGTGTACCTCAGAGCCCAGAGGCCATGGGTTCAAATCCCATGTGCTCTAGAGGTGTGTCGTAGCATCTCTGAACAGGTTGATTAGAAATTTGTGAAAAATCTGTCTGCCATCCGAAACATTTTCTTTGTGCTATTAGGGTGGGCTGAATTCTTATGCTTTCAGGAAGCTGATTTTCATTATAAAACAATTACAACTGCTCAAGATCTTTTACATCAGCACTAAAATGATATTATCGACCTGTTGGTTCAGGCGGAGTTCAGATTGATATTTCCAAGCAGAACAGAAAATGTGCCCAACCATTACAATCTCCTCATCCATCTCTGTGCTGCACCTTATATCTACTCAATGGTTTACGTTGCTGGATAATGTAACTCTAACAGCTCACAGGAAGACATACTGATTTGCTTACATTCAATACACCGGCATCCCATTCTTAGGCAGCGAGCATAGGCTTCCAGTGAGGATTCGCTGGAGAACTGATCCCCTGTTAGGTAGCTGCAACAGAGATAGCAAGACTTACAGACACATTGCACAGACAGCCAAGCAGAAACACCGTTGACATAAAGGAGTAACTGTTTCACAAGTAGTGGATTGATTGAGCAACACGGCCAATGTGAAATAGCACATTATTCACAACATTTTTTTGGGCAGCACATGCATTCATCACAGAGACTGAAACTGTCCATGACCTTGGCTCTGCCAGGTTCTGCGACTCAGTTCGGACATTGTGAAAGAAAACCACCTCCGGCCGTAAAGCCAAATGGTCGATCTTGGATCAACTGTGTGTCAGCTGTAGCACCTGGATTCAGTTCCACTGCAGTCAGTAACATTCAGCTGCTACTGATGGAGGGGGATTGGTTAGCTCTGTTGGCTGGACAGCTAGTTTGTGATGCCAACAGCATAAGTTCAATTCCTGCACTGGCTGAGGTTACCATATAGGTCCTTCCTTCTCCACTCATCTGAAGGATGGTGACCGTCAGCTTAAACCACCAGTAGTCATCTCTCTCTCTCTAATGAAAGGGCAGCCATCTGGAACTATGGTGACTTTATTTACTATAACCAACTATATAATCACGACCTGTTCTCATCAATGCCCAGACAAAATTCTACCCTGTACTGTAAACACCATTACATCATGAATACAGCTGGTCAGAACACATCACATGCACCACACAGAAATGTCTCAGTGCAGTGTAGTGTTACACTGTTAATATAGATCATTTGTTTAGACAGATAATTGGTTTATTGAAAATTAATCATGGGGTCCGGTGTTGAATTGTGATGACAGTACAAATAAAGCTATTAATCATAATCCATCATTTTTTGATAACCATTAGAGATAAAATTAAACATAAAATAATAAAAGGAATTGCACAAGTATGAGTAGATAAATAATCACAATATGCTGTGAAATGCAGGTCTCCTTCATTTATGGATTAGAACTGAAATGTCTACTATCCCTTGTATTTTGTATTAAAATCGGGTTGTCATGTTGAGTTTATTGAATTCTCAAGCATTTGTATGCTATCTATAAGTTGAATAAAGTTGGGCTGTCTTGTAGTTTATTCATTCTAAATCCTATTTGTGGAATGGTGTCTAATCATGTCGAGGTAAAAGACATTGAGGACACTGATGTTCAGGCCACTTTGCCTAAATACAATTGTTTGATTGGGAGGATGGGAGTGACACTAGCATGGCCAGCATTTATTACCCACACCCATTCCCAGTTGCACTGAAATGGTGGTGGTGAGCGGCCTTCTTGAACCACTGCAGTCTATGTGGTGATAATGCTGTTATGATAATCATAGGTACAGATGGGCAGTGAAATGTGACAGCTTGTTGTAAGTTTTTTTTTCCAAAAAGAAAATATATGAATTTGGGAGAGAAATTGAAAACCGCATTTGAAATGACAAGCAGAAAATGCTGGAGAAACACAGGGAGCATCTGTAGAGGGATAAAGAGAGTTGAAAGCAGCAGTAGTTATAGAGTACAGAAGAGACCCTTTGGTCCACTGAATCTGCACTAACCTATCCACACCAATCGCACTTTCCAGCACTTGGTTTCCAGAGCTGTAGTTGCTCAATTGTTGAGTAAATTTAAAAGGAGACCAGATTTTTGGTCAATGAGGAAATTAAAGGATATAAGGATAGGACAGTAAGGTGTAGTTGAGATGGAAGTCTAGCATGGTCTTATTGATAGCAGAATAATCTGAAGGGTCAAATGGCCTACTCCTATTATTTCCTATGCCTTGAAAAGTGACAGGAACCTCATTACAGTGTAAGCCGTTTGGTAGAATAACATCCTTCCCTTTTGCTGCTCCAGATGTACAGTTCAAAGAGCTTCTTCATATCACCTTTCCACCCACAGCTATGTCACATAACTTCCTGTTTACAGCACTCTCTCTGTCAGCGATACTGAAAGTGGCAGCAACAGGTGCAGGGTTTGTTTCATACAGTATGCTCCTCACAACTTTCAGGAATAACTTGTTCACTGATGCTCAGTTCAGCTTTCACTGGGGTCACTCAGCTCTTGACCGCATTACAGATTGGTCCAAGCATGGAGACAAAACAGCTGAGCTCCAAAAGGGAGGTGAAAATGACTGCCCTTGACATCAAGGTTGCATTTGACCAAGTACAATATCAAGCAGCCCTAGCAGAACTCGGGTCAATAGGAATCGGGTGGAAACTGCAGCCTGGAGTCATTCCTAGCGCAAAGGAGGATGGTTGTGGTCATTTGAAGTTAATTATCTTACTCCCAGAACATCACTGCAAGTGATGATTCAAACATCTTGAGCAATTCAACAAGTCCCTTCTCTCTACCATAAGGTCAAAAGCAGAGGTGTTCAATGATGATTGCGCAACGTTCAGCACCATTCACAATTCCTCAGAATTTGAAGCAGTCCATTTCCAAATCCAGTAGGACCGGGACAATATTCAGGCTTGGGTTGATAAATGATAAGTAACATTGTTGCCATATATGTGCCAGGCAGTGTGACTATGTCCAACATGAGACAATCTAAACATCCAACAGTCCAAAGATGTGCAGGTTAGGTGAATTGGCCATGCTAAATTGCCCATAGGGATGTGTAGATGAGGTGGGTTATAGGGGGATGGTCTGGGTGGGATGCTCTGAGGTTCGGTGTGGACTTGTTGGGCCGAAGGGCCTGTTTCTACACTGTAGGGATTCTATTCTATGAATCTCTCCACAGCATTCAATGGCATTACCATCACTGAATTCCCCACTATCAACGTCTTGGTGGATTATCATTGACCAAAATCTGAACTGGACCAAACATATAAATATCATGCCTACAAATGCGGGGAATTTTGAATAGCTCACCTCCTGTTTCCACAATGCCTGTCCACCATCTACAAAGCACGAAACAGGAGTGACATAGTATACAGTGTGGAGCTGGAGGAACACAGCAGGCCAGGCAGCATCAGAGGAGCAGGAAAATTGATGTTTTGAGTCAGGATGCTGTCTGGCCTGCTGTGTTTCTCCAGCCCCACACTGTATTATCTCCTACACCAGGATCTGCAGTTCTTGCTATCTCTGAGTGAAATAGTATATGCTCCATTTCCCTGGATAAGGGTAGCTCCTACAACACTCAAAAAGCTCTACACCATTCAGGACAAAGCAGCCTATTTGATTGGCACTTTGTCCACCGCACCATTGACACAAAATGTCAGCAGTTTGTACCATTTACAAGATGCAATGCAGTAACTCACCCAGGCTCCTTCAACAACACCATCCAGGTGCTCAACCTCTATCATATAGAAGGACAAGGGCAGCAGATGCAATGGAACAGGACCATCTGAAAGTTGCCCTCCAAGTCATACACCATTCTGATTTGGAACTATATCATCATTCCGCCAGCGTCGCTGGGTCAAAATCCTTGAATTCCCTCCCTAACAGTGCTGTTGCTGTCCCTACACCTGAATGACTCTACTAATTCCAGAAAGTAGCTCACCACCACTTTCTCTGGGACAATGAGGCAGTTGCAATAAATGTCAGTCTAGCCAGCACCTTGTGCAATGACAAATCGCAAAATAGCCTGGCAGATGATTAACCTCTTATACAGCAACACATACTCCCTAGTTAGCTCTGAACTGGCCACTTGGTTTCAGCATGGTTGTTCTTCCAGGAGTTTTGTGTATAGAATCTTTTAGCAAAAGATATTACAGATATTGGCAATGTGATTCATATTCTATGTGGAGTTAGTTGCTCTCAACTGGTTAGGTAGTTAATTGTTGTCTGGGCTAGGGAGAGAATTTAAGTTGTCTAGGAATTCCCCACTCTCAATCACTAACCAGCTACTTATGTTTTTATTAGGGAGACAATGGTATTATTGCTGGTGACCCAGATAATGTTCTGGGAACCCAGGTTCAAATCCTGTCATTGATAGATGGTGGAATTTGATTTCAATAAAAATCTGGAATTAAGACTCTAATGATGAAACCATTGACAATTAGAAAAAATTTTAGGCTAAGAGGCTGTCCTGTATCTTACGGCACAAGGCAGACAATGCATATGCTTAGCACTGTTACTCCAGCCAGACTTCACCCGGAACTAGACTGTGCCCTTCCCCATCAAGAAATAGGAGAAAGGTTCCAGGTTAGCCCCCTCCTCTCCCTTCTGAAGGTGCAGGTCCACAGGCACAAACTTGCCTGTATCTGGCCTACGTGGTCTTATATAGCAAAGCCCAATCTGCCTTTTATCTGCTGTCCCTTTGCAGGAACGTTTTTTAATTCATTTATGGGATGAGGGTGTTGCTAGATAGCCACCATTTATTGCCCATCCCAGATGGACGTTAAGTCAACCACTTTGCTGTAATGAGGGCAGTTTCATTCCCTAAAGGACATTAGTGAACCAGATTGGTTTTGCCAACAATTGTCAATGGTTTCTTACCACATGCCATATGCAAATTGGAAGGATTTACAGGTTGCTAATTTAGTTATAAAAACCAAAAGAACTGTGGATGCTGTGAATCAGGAACAAAAACAAAGTTGCTGGGAAAGCTCAGCAGGTCTGGCAGCATCTGTGAAGGAAAAAACAGAGTTAACGTTTCAGGTCTGGTGACCCTTCCTCAGAACCTGGTGGCTGGGAAAACGTCAATTTACATGCAGAAAACAGGGAGGTGGGTGGGGTAGGGAGTAAACGATAGGATAGAGCCCAAAGAGAGAGAAAGACAGTTGGACAGACAAAGGAGTTGCTAATGATCAGGCTCGGAGGGTGAATAGTTGTTAATGGGGACTGTTAGTGACTAACAACAGGGAGTGTGTAATGGCAGGCAATGTGGTAATAAGGTAAAAACTTTGTTTTTGTTGCTAATTTACTTATCTAGTTATGAACACACTCTCTTAAGGCTTAACTCCTGGAATAGGGGTTCAGTCCAGAGCACTGGCTCATGGACAGGGATGCTACTCACTGGGCTATAAGACCTCTAGAACAAAGTTCAGAACTCAGAAAATCTATTCTAAAGTCAAGGCATTGATTAAAATGCAGGCTATGGACAAAGTTCCTTAAACTTCCACTGGAAACCTGGCAATGTGCTTTAAAGAGATTTGATACATAAGGAGTGGAGACTGCTCATGGCTGTCCATTTAGTAGTGATTACTCACGTGTTATGAGATGATGAGATCCAGTAATGAGATAGGGGGTTGCTCATCTCTTCTGGGAAGACCTGATCAAACCTCGAATCCCAAATGGAGTTTTCTTTGGAAAACAGGAAAGTCAGGAACTGAAAGGACAAGGGGATAAACAGTCAAAGGTTTCAAGCAGCAACAACAGAAGCATGCCCAACCTCCACACCCCAATCTCATTTTAACACCCCAACAAGGTTACAATTGGATTTAGTAAGGAGCCTCAGCACCATTCTCACCACTTTACTGAGCCCCCATACAGTAAAATGGATATAACACTTGAGCTGCAGTTACATAGTCACATTCACTGCTTCCCCTCGCATTAGCGTATACCTACTTCCCATTTTAAAAACCTCTCCAGAAACCTCCTGAGCTATGTCTTGTGTTAACCATAGCCCTCTCTCCCATTTAGTTATGAGTGCCCCCTTTGTTCCTTGCTTGATAGCATGCTGAAGTATTTACCAACAGTTGAGGAGTTGTTTGCTGTAGATGACCTGATTTCCACATAGACTAAAGCAAGAAATGTAAAATCACTTATGTAGGTTGTATCACATTTCTTTGTTCCTTCACAGGATGTGGCTATCACTGACAAGGTTGGCATTTATTACTACTGAAACGATGATGGTGAGCTGCTATCTTGAATACAACTGAGTGATTGTGACGACGATAAACGCAGAAAATGCTGTCAATAATCAGCAAGTCTAGCAGCATCTCTGGAGACAGAGGGTAAGCTTTCAGGCTGATGACCTTTCATCAGATCAGTTCTGATCAATCTGTGCACATTAACTGCTCCTCTCGGTACAGGTGCTGCCTGACCTGCTAGCATTTTCAGCATTTTTTGTTATTATTCTAGATTTCCAAGATCCGTAGCTTTTTGCTTCTGTTGTGGCCATTTCAAAGAGTCAGAGTCAACCACATTGCAATGAGTCTTGAGTCACATGCAAGTCACAGCAGGTAAGGATAGTGAACTTCATCACCTCAAGGGTTTTATTGAAACAGGAAGGTTCTTACACCAGTCAGGGTCACGGTTTCTGAGACTAGCTGAGATAACAAGGTGTAGAGCTGGATGAACACTGCAGGCCAAGCAGCATCAGAGGAGCAGGAAAGCTGACTTTTCGGGTCTAGACCCTTCTTCAGAAAATGAAGGTCTAGACTCGAAACATCAGCTTTCCTGCTCCTCTGATGCTGCTTGGCCTGCTGTGTTCATCCAGCTCTACACCTTGTTATCTCAGATTCTCCAGCATCGGCAGTTCTACCTATTTCTGAGACTAGCTGGAGAATCTGAGATAACAAGGTGTAGAGCTGGATGAACACAGCAGGCAGTTCTACCTATTTCTGAGACTAGCTCTTCATTCCACATCAGTCTATTTGAATTTATGTTCCTCAGCTGCTTTTGTGGACTTTGAACACTTGTCTCCAGTGCATGAGTCTAGGCCTGAGGATTAATAGGCCAGTAACATAACCACAATGTTATTGTATATTAACTGAGCCGTATGCTTTGTGGAATAGTATTCCAATCCACAGCAGACAGTAGGGACTTCTGGAATTCTCTCACCCAGGTGCTGGGGATGCTGAATCAATTGGAATTTACCAAAGGCTGAGATTGATAAAATGTTTTTTTGGTAAATATATCATAGTTATGAAGTATAAAAGAAATCAAAGTTATGGTGTGAAAAAACAAATAAGAGAAGGAAAGAGGGAGTAAGAAAAAAGACTTGGCAGGTAACGTAAGAGGGAGCCCCAAAATCTTCTATAGGCACATATATAGTAAAAGAGCCGTAATAGGAAGTTTAGGTGTAAATCCCCTTTTTGACCCTGTCTCCAAAGGCATGGCCAGTACTAAATGAACCCTTTGCATCTGTATTTAGCAAGGAGGTAGAAGGTACCCAGGCCATGTGAAAGAGGAAGAAATCCAGTTGCTAAGAGTGTTTATAAGTGAGAAGGAGGAGGAATTGGATAGGCTGTCTGAATTAAAGTTGTCAAGGTACCAGGGCCAGATACTGAGGGAATTGGGAGTGGAAATTGTGGAAGGACTGCCTATAATTTTTCAGTCTTCCTTAGAGTCAGGGCAGAAGACTGGAGAATTACAAACATTAACCCTTGTTCAAAAAAAGCTACTGTAGACTCACCAGTTTAACTACCATGGTGGAAATTTCTGGAAACAATAATTTCAGGATAGAATTAGTTTTCAGTGGGATGAATGTGGGCTAGTTAAAGGCAGCCATTATAGATTTCTTAAGGGAAAATCATACTTAACTAAATTGCTGGCTTTTTTTGAAAAGGCAACAAAGAGAATCGATGTGAGCAATGTTGTTGATGTGGTATACATGCAACTTCCAGAAAGGTTTGGATACACTGCTCCACAATAAAATTGTGAGAAAATTAGAGATCATGAAATAAAGGAGACATTAGCAACATGGAGACAAAACTGGCTGAGTGATAGGAAACAGACAGCAATGGTTAATGGATAATTTTCAGGTTGCAGGAAGTTGGAACTGGAGTTCTCCAGAGGTCAGTGTTGACATACTTGCTTTATCTGATATAAAATACTGATTTAGACCTTGGTGTACAAGGGAAAACTTGGAATTACTGTAATCTATGAGAAGGACATTAAGAAACGTCATAAGGATTTTGGGATAGCAAGAACTGCAGATGCTGGAGTCAGGGACAACACAGTCTGGAGCTGGAGGAACACAGCAGGCCAGGCAGAAAGTTGACGTTTCGGGTAGGGACCCTTTTTCAGAAAATGAAGAAGAAGGGTTCCGACCGAAACGTCAACTTTCCTGCTCCTCTGATGCTGCCTGGCCTGCTGTGTTCCTCCAGCTCCATATTGTGTTGTCATAAGGATTTTGACAAGTTGGAGGAGTGGGGTAGATAGATGGTAGATGAAGTTCAATGCAGGAAAGTATGAGGTGATGTACTTTAGTAAGAAGACCATGGAGAGGCAATAAAAAAAAAAAGAACAACTCTAAAGGGGGCACTACAGCAGAGGGACCTTGGATGCGCACATGTGTAATTCATTAAAGATGGAAGGACAGGTTGAGAGAGCAGTTAACAAAGCATACAGTATCCATTTGTACAGTACAACAGCAAGGTGGTTATGTTAGACACTAGTTTGGCTTCAGCTGGATTATCATATATAGTTCTGGGCTCCACACTTTAGGAAAGATATGAAGACATTGGAGAGAAGTGTAAAAGAGACTTATACAAGAACGGCTCCGTTGAGAAACTTCCGTTTTGAAAATAGATGAGAGAAGTCGGGTTTCTTTTTTCGGAGAAGAGAAGACTGAGAAGAAATTTGATTTCAGTTTCCAAAATCACAAGAGATCTGGACAAAGTAGATAGGGAGAAATTGTTCCCACTTGCAAAAGGACAGGGAATGAGAGGGCATGTATTTAAAGTAACTAGTAAAACATGCAGAAGTGATATGAGGAAAAGCATTTTCAGAAAACAAGCGCTTAGAGTCTGGAATTCTCTGCCTAAGAGTGTGGTGGAGGCAGGTTCTTATAAACATAGAAAATTGGACCAGGATTAGGCCATTTGGCCCCTTAAGGCTGCTTTCCCATTCAATATGATCATGGTTGATCCTCTATCTCAGTGCCATACTCCTGTTCCCTCCCCATACTCCTTGATGCCTTCAGTGAGTCAAAATCTATTTCTTTCTTAAATATAATCAGCGATTTGGCCTCTGCAGCCATATATGATAGATGTATTCCAAAGAGAATTAGATGGTTACTTGGAAAAGAAGAATGTGTAGGGTTAGGGAGAGAAGTCAGAAGAATGGCACTAACTGAGATGCTCATTCAGAGAGCTAGTACAAGGATGACAGGCCAAATTACCTCCTTCTGCCGTGTAACAATTCTATGATTCTTATTTAGATGCAGATCTGACATTAGTCCAATCAAAAAGGCTCCTGCAGCCAAAAAAGTTTAAGAATCATTAATCATAGCAGAGATAACAACTGAATATAGAGAGAACTTGGCTGCAACCACTGTGATTGAAAACTTAGGCTACGAAGACTATGCCCACTGCTTTATGATATGGTTTCCATACAATGGTGCTACGTATTGTCGATGTACAAATCAGTGCTTATCTGATTTTTTTCGATCCTTATTCTTGCAAAGGTGGCAAATCTTGCTGGAGCATCGAATAGCATCTTAAACACCAAGCTGAGTTTTGCCAATTTAGCAGATTTGGGCAGCACACCCAAGATGTAACCCTAGGACGTGAGCACAGAACTCAAAATGGTAGCGCACTACTGATGGACTTGCTGCACTTTCAAAGGTACTATCTTTTGGTTGAGACATTAAACCAAGACTCCAATTGCCTCATGTATGTAAATGCACTCTCTCAAAACTTAGCAGACATCTTATTGGCAGTGTTCTGACCAATATTTATCCCTCAATGAATAACATAAAAACACATCATGTGGTAGTTGTGGCATTATTTTTGATGGTTTATTGCTGTGCGCCGAGTGCTCTATGTCTAAAGTTCACAAAAGTGACATTTGTAATTTATTGTTCTTAGAATGAGGGTATCACTGACTACATCAGCTTTTATTGTCCATCCGTAATTTCTTTTCTTCACTTGTAGGACATGGGCATTGTGGCTGGCCAGCATTTTACTGCCCGTACCTAGTTGCCCTTGAGAAGGTGATGGTGAGCTGATTTCTTGAACTGCTGCAGTCTACATGCTCTGGATGATCCACAATGCTGTTAGGAGGGAATTCTAGAATTTTGACCCAGTGGCAATGAAGGAATGGCAATACATTTCTAAGTCAAGATGCTGAGTGACTTGGAAGGGAACTTGCAGATGGTGGTGTTCCCATGTATCTGCTGCCCTTGTCCTTCTAGATGGAAGTTGTTGTGGGTTTGGTAGGTGCTGTCTGAGGATCTTCGGTGAATTTCGGCAGTCAATCTTGTGGCTAGTACACACCGCTGCTATTGAGCGTCGGTGGTGGAGGGAGTGGATGGTTGTGGGTGTAGTGCCAATCAAGCGGGCTGCTTTGTCCTGGATGGTGTCAAGCTTCTTGAGTGTTGTTGGAGCTGCACTCATCCAGGCAAGTGGGGAGTATTCCATCACACTCCTGACTTGTGCCTTGTAAATGGTGGACAGGCTTTGAGGAGTCAGGAGGTGAGTTACTCGCTGCAGTATTCCTAGCCTCTGAACTGCTCTTGTCGCCACTGTATTTATGTGACAAGTCCAGTTGAGTTTCTGGTAAATGGTAATCTTAAGGATGTTGATAGTGGAGGATTCAGTGATGGTAACATTATTGAATGTCAAGAGACGGTGTTTAGGTTGTCTCTTATTGGAGATGGTCGTAGACTGGGCATTTGTGTGGTGTCAGTGTTACTTGCCACCTGTCAGCACAAGCCCAGGTCTTGTTGCATTTGAATATGGACTGCTTCAGTATCTGAGGAGTCACAAATGGTGCTGAACATTGTGTAATCATGAGCGAACATCCCCAATTCTGACCTTATGATGGAGGGAAGGTCATTGATGAAGCAGCTATAGATGGTTTGGCCTGGAACACTACCCTGGGAACTCCTGCAGAGATGCCTGGGAGCTTAGGTGACTGACCTCTAATAACCACAATCATCTTCCTATGTGCTAGGTATTACTCCAACCAGCGGAGAGTTTGCCCCCTGATAATCATTAATTCCAGTTTTGCTAGGGCTCCTTGATGCCACGGTCAAAAGCTGCCTTAACGTCAAGAGTTGTCACTCACATCACCTCTAGAATTCAGCTCTAACCCCATTTGCTGATGACACCACCGTAGTGGTTCAGATCTCAAACAATGATGAGACAGAGCACAGGAAAGAGACAGAGAGCTTAGAGGCATGATGCAAAGACAACAATCTCTCTACCAATGTCAGCAAAAAGGAGCTAGTCATTGACTTCAGGAGGACACACCCATGTCTGTATCAATGGTGCTAAGGTGGAGTGGTTGAGAACTGCACGTTCCTAGGAATAAAAAGTCACCAAAAATCTTTCCTGGCCAATTCACGTTGAGGCTACAGTCAACACCAATGCCTCTACTCTCTCAGAAGACTAAGCATCCTATTCAGAAGCATCATTTCTTGGTATGGAAATCGCTCTGCCCATGACAGCAAGAAACTACAGAGAATTGTGAACACAGCCCAGTCCATCATGAAAACCAGCCTTCCAACTATTGGCTCTGTCCACACTTCCTGCTGCCTCAGGAAAGCAGCCAACATCATCAAAGACATTTCCCACCCCGTCTATACTCTCTTACACCCTCTTTCATTGGGCAGAAGATATTAAGGTTTGAAAACATCTACGAAGAGATTTATGAATAGCTTCTTCCCTGCAATTATCAGACTTTTGAATGGACGCCTCCTATATTAGAGTTGATCTTTCTATGCAACTTCTCTAACTGTAACACTATAATCTGCATTCTGTTCTATCACCCTGATATACTTACGTAAAGTATGATTTGTCTGGTTAGTATGCAAAACAATGCTTTTCACTGTATTTCAGTACATGTGACAATAATAAATCAAATGAAATCAAAATCAGCTCTTTTGTCTATATTTGGACCAAGGCTGTAATGAGGTCAGGAGCTGAGTGGCCCTAGTGGAATCTAAACTGGGTGTCACTGAGCAGGTTATTGCTGAGCAGGTGTTGCTTGATAGCGCTGTTACTGACACCTTCCATCACTTTACTGATGATTGAGAGTAGGCTGATGGGGCAGTAATTGGCCGGGTTGGATTGTCCTGCTTTTTGTGTGCATGATATACCTGGGCAATTTTCTACAGTGTCAGATAGATGCCACTGTCATAACTGTATTGGAACGGCTTGGCTAGGGGAGCGGCAAGTTCTGGAGCACAAGTCTTCAGTACTTTTGCCGGAACGTTGCCAGGGCCCAAAGCCTTTGCAGTGTCCAGTGTCTCCAAACGTTTCTTGATATCATGTGGAGTGAATCACCCTTGAGAAGCTGGTGGTGAACTGCCTTCTTGAACTGCTGCATTCCCTGTTGTATAGGTACAGTCTGTTAGGTAGACTGTTCAGGATTTTGACCCAATGACACCGAAGTAATATATTTCCAAGGCTGGATGGTAAGTGGCTTGGAGGGGAACTTGCAGATGTAAATCTGCTGGCTTCTAGTTGATAGAGGTCTGTAGGTTTGGAAGGTGTGGTATAAGGAGCTTTGGTGAGTTTCTGTAGTGCATCTTGGAGATGGTACACACGGCTGCTACTAGGCATTGGTGGTGGCGAGACCGAATGAGTGCTGACCAAGTGGGCTGCTCTGCTTTGGATGCTATCAAGCTTCTTGAATGTTCTTGGAGCTGCATGCACTCGCACACTTGTGGAGTATTCCATCACACTCTGGGCATGTGCTCTAGAGATGGCAGACAAGCTTTTGAAGTGTCAGGAAGTGAGTTACTCGCCATCTCAGAATTCCCAGCATCTGCTTTTCTAACCACTTTATTAATATGGCTGCTTGGCACTTCAAAAGTACTTTTCAACAAGTACTTTGGGATTTTCTATGGTCATTAAAGGTGCTATATAAATGCAAGCTTTTCATTTTTTTTCTTCCTTCCTTCCTGCTTACAGCATAGATACTGGGCATCCCGTTGTCTCATTGTTACTTCATGGTGAAGCTGAATGGCTGAAGCCCACAACTAATAGGATGTGCTTCACAGTTGGAGGTAATCTTACCTCATCGAGGTAGAAAAATGGATCGTCAATCTCGCGGAGTGGATCGCTAAGGTAACTGAACATGAACTCTCTCACTTGGTGTATATTTGTCGCCCACAATTCCTAGACACCAAAAAAACAGAACATCAGCAGTGCACAGGAGTGATATATCACCACTTAAATCCCATGTTAAAGAACATTTAAGTCAAAAAAAAACTGAGTGATCACTGAGGCAGTATCAAAGGCTACAATAACTGTTCTGAAATAGAACAATGAGTACTGAGCGCTATGATTGAATTTTCCTACAAATGTATGGTAGACAACAATCTCACTTATTAGTTTCCAGGTTGGCACTGATCTTTTTCACTCAGCACAGAATCTGTAAACAGCAGGAGTGCTGTTCCAATACGCTAACATCAAATATTTGCCAGTCAGCTGCCCACCTTGGCCAGTTTTTCATTTCTTTAAAATTTTTCATGGGATGTGGGTGTTGCTGATAAGGCCAGTGTTTGTTGTCTGTCCCACCTCCTGCTCCACAGTAGTTAAGAGTCAATCACGTCACTGTGGGTCCCACATAGGCTAGACCAGGTAAGAGTGGCAGATCTCCCTCCCTCAAGGTCATTAGTGAACCAGGTGGATTTTTATGGCATTCAGTTTCATGGTCGGTGGAACTAGATTTCAATTCCAGATTTTTTTTGCAAATTTTAATTTAAATTGCACCAACTGGTGTGACGATACTTGAATCCCCCAGGGAATTAGCCTCAAGGTTACACAAGGACAGTATTAACCTCTGGATTACTAGCCCAGTGACATTACCACTATCTTCCCCATTTTCTTATTTTAAGATGCACATTGCCAGCCTTCCCTCCTGCTCAGAAGAACAACTTGGTTGAAAGAGAAAGAAAATAGTTTAGTGCTAACTGAAAAACCCGAAGGGAGAATCTTTGCTCTATTAAATTTGGAAAGTATGTGGTGATGGCAGGCACCAACTAGATAGTGCATGGCTGTTTTTTACCCTGCGAGAAGGTTTATCCCACTCACCTTCTGATATTCCAGCAGGAAATGCTGGAAATCTTGCAGTGAGACTTGGCTGAGTTCAGGCCTCTCACAGCTCCTGTGGAATGGAAACATCACAAGTTAATTTGGAAAAGCCAGAAGCAGCTGAAAAATCACTTCAATCAAAGCAAAATACTGTGGATGCTGACAATCTGAGAAACAGGCATTGAAAACATTGGAGAAATTCAGCAGCTCTGGCAGCATCTGTGGAGACAGCAAACAGAGTTAACGTTTTCAATGACATGGAAATTATCAATCTCTTTGACCAATGCCTTTGACAGAGTGATTGAAGGATCATTGCTGTTTGCCTCAGTTGATTAAAAATGATCACGACTCTAGAGTGGTTCAGCCTGGGGCCTGGGATGGAGGGCAAGGATTTGGAGGTACATGAGGACCCAATAATGAGGATCCTGGGCCTTATCTGGTTGGGGGCACAGACCAGGAGCAGCACTGGAACCTGCAATTTCTATTGTTTATAGACACTCCAGCAGAACAACATGGTGATTATGTGAGCAGTTTGACCCCCGAGCTGGCTGCACTAGGCAAGTTGGTCAAACCAATGGGTGAGGTGATGCAGCTTGGCATTAACTGCTTTGTTACCTCTCGACTTGGCTGTTCCAGTATGTTTATAGCCCGTGTCCCACAATCTACCTTCTCGGAATTCAAAGTCACCTAAAAGTTTGCTGCCCATTTCTTATTTTGCGCCAAGTCCCATTCCCCATCCTCCCCCATCCTCACTGACTTACATTGGCTCCCAGTTAAGCAATGTTTTAATTTTAAAATTCTCATCCTCGCTTTCAAATCCCTTTATGTTCTCACCCGTCTCTATCGCTGTTATCTCTACAACCCTCTGACATATCTGCACTCCTCGAATTCTGGAAGGTGGACATTCCCAATTACAACTGCCTCCAGGTGCTTAAGTCCCGGGCTTCGGAATACTTTTCCTACGCCTCTCTGCTTCTCTACCTTACTTTCCTCTCCTACATCACATCTTAAAACCTACCTCAGACCAGGTTTTTGGTCATTTTATCTAATATACCCACAAATAAAACAAACAATTGTGGATTCTGCAGATCTGAAACAAAAACAGAAATTGCTGGAGAAATTCAGTAGGTCTGGCAGCATCTGTGGAGAGAAAGCAGAGTTAACGTTTCGAGTCATTTTGAACGTTTCGAACTCTTGTTCTGAAGTTCTTGGCTATTGCACAGTCATCATTGGGCTTCTTGCGTCTCTCTAAGGACTGATTAACTATTGATGCCAGGAGCTGAGCAGCTTAGCTATTTTTTATTTTTTTTTATTTGCTATTCTGTTGAAGATCTGTGAGAGTGACAAGTGCCAATCACCAGGAGTGGGTGTCTTGAGCAATGAAGCACAGTATCCTATAGGAACATGGTAGGCTAGACAATGTTCTCTGATTAACGTCTCGGTGTAACAGTTTACAGTTTCAGAGTTATGCCCTTTGACCTCCAGGCCAGCAAAGCAAGCCACCCAGATCAGACATAGGTACAGTATGGAAATACTTCTCCATATTTTGGGCAGAGGAAGAATTTTTTATTTTACTGCCAATCGTGGGCAAAACATGTTGAGACTAATGCACTCATTCTAAATGGTGGTGATTACAACATTTAACACGAAAATAACCCAAGTAACTGGTGATCTGGAAAGCCCTTTAAAGTAGCACTTTGCCCCAACTGGTTACAGGTGGCATTCTCCACTTACTTTTGAAGAAAGTGAACCTCCATCTGGGGAAGGGAAGAAGAAAATAAAATCAGAGAAATGCTTCTTACACAAACGCACACAAAATAAAGCACTCCCCGGCCTTAATGCACACTGGTGGCAACGCGCAAAAGTCCAGAGTGCATACTGCATCAAGGATACTCGTATTGATGACCTTCTGCTGAGCAATTCCCCTTTTCTTTTATCCTTGACACCAACTCCTCTCACCCCACTCCCAGGAAACCATTTGAGGTGCTGAATCCCAACACAATAACATTGCCAATTTAGCCAGCCAAGAGCAGGGTTTCATTTCAATTTCTTATCCTCTCTCCCTTGGCCTGGTTTTATTTAAAAAGGAATTTTTACTGAAGCCCTTTCATAATCTCAGGATGGGTTTTGCAGCAAACAAATTTCGCTGAAGTGCAGCCCCTACCATGAAACAGGAAATAGGGTGGCTAATTCACACACAGCAAGCTCCCAACAGGATAAGTGAATGGATAAGTTTCAATTGGTGAACGTTGGAGGTAGGAATAGAGGAGGGCAGAGCTAGGAATTCCTGGTGGCAGCCTATGTGCAGGTTTGCTGGCACCTTTCTGCGTCTGCGCTATTTTTAAACAGGGAGGTCAGGCCTGATGAAGGTTGTGTGTCTGTAAGCAATGGCAGCTCATTAACATAATGAAAATGTCAACTGTGGACAATGAAGGGCCCCACTTGGTCATCTTGGAGCATGGCAAATGCCTGCTGATAGGGAAGGGGTGACCACTGGCCTTCTCCTTGCTGCCACCATACCTGCTTATCCACAGCCACGGTCACAAGCTGCCCTACAGAATGGCTCCTTCTCTCCAATGGTGGGCCTACAGCTGTGGCCATTTGAAGAAAGCAGGGAGTTATGTCCCCAACTTGTCAGTGCTCTGGCTTCCCAAGCTCTCTCCCTCAATCCCCCTCCCACCACCGTCTTCAATTGTACAGTGAGAGCACCCTCTGGATGCTCATCACAAAATCATGGCTTGCGCCTGACGCTGATGGAGTCAGGACCCACAAATGATCCCAACATCGGAGTCAAAGGTGTAAATCCTGCCCAATAATCAATTTTAGTGTTGTCAGTTGAGAGTCATCTCTGGTTCAAAGTAACAGGGAGAATTCTTTCTTTGAAAGAGTGCTACACAGCCTTTTATGCCCACTTATAGGGAGATACCAGGCCCTGGTTTCATGTCATCTGCAAGGCTGCACCTCAGACAGTGCAGCACTCCCTCAGCTTACACCAAATCAATCCTATATTGAAATCAATTCATTCAAGTCAGACTAATGGATCAATTCTGGGACCTTAGGGCTCAGTGCTATTCCAGTTCTTCCTTAAACAATGACATTGAAGAAAGAATATTATCTAAAATTATAGTTAAGGATCTTTCATTCCTTCAGGTACACAGTGACATTGAGAAACCTGCATGTAATGTGCTAATTATTCAAATTCTTATCAGTACTGGAACGATCAGTGCCTTCAGCAATTTTATGTAGCAACCTTGATTGTCCCTCAGAAGCACTTTGGGATGCACTTCAGACATGTTAGTTCTTAATTTTAAAACTCATCCATCACGTTTGGCACTTACATGTTTCTGAGCATCGAACATCAGGTTACGATAGAGCTGAGCAAACTGGCAGTAAGTGACATCCCCACTCCGCAACTCCATGTCCTAAAGGCATAAGAAGTCATCAGGGAACTGAAATTATGTCATCTTATTCCCAGTACTAAATACAATCTGATGTTACTGTTACGTAGCACCATTCCGCAGAAGAGGAGGAGCGTGGGAAACTTCACTTCCTGCCCCCCTGCCTTCTTCCAGTTGCATTTGCAACTAAAGCAGACATTCCTGGATGTGAATGGCCACAAACAATGCTGTCTTAAATAATACCTCGCCTCATTATTGATCAGCATGCAATGATGTACTAATGACACCAGTTGCTGCAGCATCACATTTAAGTTGCTACAGGATCATATAGCAAGCATTGGTCAATTCAAGTTCTCCACAGAGACTACAGCTCGCCCAGGATTCTCTCATGTGCATTGGTTGCTAAACACAGAATTACCTAACACAGGCTCACATCTAGAGCTCTGCGGTATCTTATATACAGCATCATATAAGAACAATGAATGGTGATGCATGGTATAGAGACATTGGGTGATACAGCATCATATAGTACTGAATGATGCAGTATGGTATAGAGGGAATGGGTGGCATGGTATATACAGAGACACTGAGTAGTGCAGCGTGGTACGGAGACATTGGTGGGACAGCATCATATAGGGTCACTGAATGGTGCAGTATAGTATAGAGACAATACTGGTAGAACATCAGGGACAAAAGACAGAATTTTCTGGAAAAACTCAGTGGGTCTGGCAGCATCTGTGAAAAAAAAAATCGGAGAGTTAACGTTTCGGGTCCGGTGACCTCAGTACAGTTCTGTGGAAGGGTCACCGGACCTGAAACGTTAACTCTGATTTTTTCTTCACAGATGCTGCCAGACCCGCTGAGCTTTTCCAGCAACTTCTGTTTTTCTTCCTGATTTACAGCATCCGCAGTTCTTTCGGTTTTTATTTGGTGGTACAACATCATAGAGAAGCAATGGCACAACGTGGTATAGAGGCAGTGGATGGTGCAGCATCATGTTGAAACACTGGGTGGGACAGCATGGAATGGAGACACTGGACAGTGCAACAATATATGGGGATTCTGGATGGTGTGTAAGGTCTACGGAGACAGTGGATAGACATGCAGTACATGGGGATACTGGATGACAAACAGCTTGTCTGGTGACCCTAGCAGGTAATGTTCAAAAGAATAACAGTTATGCATTGGTAACAGTCAGTCAAACAAAGAATGAGCAGAGAAGAGACGTAGGGTTAGACTCGGAGTCTGAGTGGAATCTGAGGGAAAATGTAGTAGCTAAACAGGTGGAGGCTTGGCAGTACTGGAAAAAAAAATACAAAGTAGGGTAAGAGAATGAAGAAAAAGCAAAATTTCTTTATCAAACCACCTTGTGTGCTTTCATAGGGCTAAACTGGTTTGAGACGATAAATATTTTAGATAGAATAAAGGAGGTCTAGTTGCTCCAGTGTGCCACACAGTTAAATAACAGCAATCAGCAGCATTATGTTATAAGCAAGAATTTAAAATAAGATAATCAGATTAGATAAAATTTCCTCGACAAATGAAGTGAGTGCAGAAAGAAGTAAATTACTGTAATTTTTTCCCGCAGAAATCTCATGTTGGGCACTCGGTAGTTGACTTGAGCCAACATGTTCTTCAGATCCTTCACCGTGATCCTAGAAGAGGGGAAATATACTGTTATCCTTGAGGCATTTTGATTTGTAACATGCAATATGGTTGGTTACCGAGGAGTTACCACTTGTCCAATCCCTGAAGCAATAACCTGGTGATGAGGGCCAGCTAACTGAGGTATTCGAGAGCGCATTAGACCCTTTCTTTGGATATAAATAGTGTGCACGAGAAAGGCAGGAGATTGGCATCAGGTATATCAGCCAGGCTGGACAATAGAGCCAGTGCAGGCAGGATGGGCTGAACAGCCTCTTTTTGCTTTATAATAATCCCGTGATTCCACGATAACTTGCACACTGAAGTGGTGTCCATGCTGTTTGCACATCCTAACCTGCTGAGAACTACATCTCAGTCAGGTTGGCTGGATGAGTGAATCACTTCCCTGGAGGGAAACAAAGAGAACAGCGAAAGCAAAGTTCACTCAGAGGCTACTGTCAGCTGGTGACATTACCTGGGAATTCTGTGATCTCAGTTATGGAACCAAACAGAGGAGTTAGAAGCACTTTACTTTTGTACAAATTTAGAATGTGGCCATCTTTTATTTTTCATTCCTGATATCAGGCTCTTTGGTAACTTTTGGGCGGGGTACTTATGTTTTATAAGGACATTCTGTGTTAAATAGCCATTTCCCATGTCTGCTCAACATGGTGCAGTCAGCATCCTGTTCTGTTGCAAATTCCACATCTTTAGTACAGCCATTCAGGGAAAACTCAACACCATTGTCCAGCACAGCCTAGAATGCAATACTTACAAAGCTACACACAATGAAGATAAACAGGCACGTAGATAGAAGTCACAAACAAATAGATAATACACGCCACAGTTTCCATTGTCTGTCAGGCTACCATGCAAGTATCTTCAGATATCAAAGGGTTATTAAAGTTGGGTAAATACTGTTCATAGAATCCTTACAGTATGGAAGCAGGCCATTTGGCCTGTCAAAACCACACCTTCTCTCCCAAGAGCATCCCACCCAAACACACACCCCTACCCTCTCCTTGTAACCCTGCATTTACTGTGGCTAATCCACCTAACCTACACATCCTGGACACTATGGACAACTTAACATGGCCAATCCTCCTAATCTGCACAGCTTTGGATTGGGGGATGAAACCAGAGCACCCAGAGGAAACCCATGCAGACACAGGCAGAACGTGCAAACTTCATACAGACAATGGCTCAAGGATGGAATTAAGCCCGGGTCCCTAGTGCTTTGAGGCAGCAGTGCTAATCACTAAGCCACCATGCCATATAGTTCTACAACAACATTTTCCAATTTGGCAGTGATCAGGCCCAATGACATGGATCGTTCCATCCTCACCCTAACTAAGTGATGTGGAAGCCTATTACAATACCAATACCACAGTAAAATGAAGATTGTGTGACACAGTGGCTATTATCCCTGCCTCAGAGCCAGAAGCAGTAGGTTCAGATCCCATTCTTTGGCTTGATGGCTGAGAAAGCTGTGTACATAACGCAACCAAGAACATCAACCTGCAAATCCCTCCAACGCGCACAGATTGGCAAAGATTCCTTGAAAGCCTGGTGATGGAAAGAAAGCTGGCGTCTCCACTGTCACTGTCCGTAGCTCCTTGTTATAATATACATGTAAAGGTGCATGCTGCCACAGCAACTCCAGACTTTCTTGAGTGAACTGTAACACCCATCACCATCATGGTCAGATTCAGCTAACAGAGCACAAGCTGCTTTTGAGTCCCTACTAATGTACGCAGCTCACTTTCCACTCTTCTCTTGTACTTGAGTACATGTGAGAATAAAACCTAATTCTAATTCAATACCGTATGTTCACTCCCTGGACTGTTGTGCAGCTGAGAATATACAGCATAGGAACAGGCCCGCTAAATCTGACACAGGTTTTTTTTAAAAGAAAGAAAATACAAGATATTTTTTGCAGGATTTATTTTGAATTGCATTCTTTATCCCCCTATTATACAGAGTGGTCACCACACGATTTATCTGATGATTTATCTGAAATACTAACACTTGTTTTTCTCTCCACAATTGCTGCCTGGCTTCCTGTGGTTCCAGCACTTTCCGTTGACACGACAGAATTTACTACTGGCTGTCCCACTAATCTAGACGAGGGTAGATACACGGTGGCTCAGTGGTTAGCATTGCTGCCTCACAGCGCCAGGGACCCAGGTTCAATTCCACCCTCGGGTGACTGTGTGGAGTTTGCACATTCTACCTGTGTCTGCTAGGGTTTCCTCTCACAGTCCAAAGATGTGCAGGCTAGGTGGATTGGCCATGCTAAATTGCCCCTAGTGTTCATGGATGTGTAGATTTGATGGGTTACAGGGGGATGGGATGCTCCGAGGGTTGATGTGGACTTGTTGGACCGTAGGGGCTATTTCCACACTGTAAGGATTCTATGATACAAATCCAAACCTCCAACTGGCAAACAATCTGTCAAGAGCAGGACTGACAAATTATTGTAATCTGGGAAGTTGCCAGATTCTGATAAATAACTCAGGCAATAATCAGCATTGCCATACTGATTTGTGAACTACACACACTTCAGTGAAAAGGGCTCACATAATTCATCACACATTCCTAGCTTGCTTTTATTATAGTCTTTGGGGCCACCAATTGTGGCAACCATCAGACATTGTACTACAATGTGATAGAGAGCACTAAATTATAGAGGAAGATCCATAAATCACTGACCTAAAAAAGCCCGAAAGGACAGGCAAACACTCATACAGACACACATATAAAAGACACAGACATACACACTTAAATCTAGACACACATGCGCATTCAAACACACACAAACATACAGAAACATAGGCAGACTGACAGACAGATCCTCAAACACAAAAACAAACACAGACACATACTCGTCGACACACACATCTGTCAAAGACAAAAGACAAGCAAGCATACACACGCGCGCACGCACACACATAAAGATAGCTCTAAAAAGAGGCACAAGATTGAAGTTTTGTCTTGTACTCATCAGAACTGAAACAAAAGGAAACCAACTTTACAAAGATAACAACAATTTATATAGTATGAGCAAGAGGCTGTGCAAGCAAATGTACTCTATAGATTGTTGCTTCCTTTCTAAAGTCAGTTTTCTTTGCCCCAATGAGTGCAAGATGAAAAGCTTTAACTCCGTTTAAGGTTTGAGATCCATTCTCCACCTTTCCCAATCTGTGTTGTTCAAATATGTTTGAACCTCAAGTTGTTTTGGAGAATGCACACTCATGACTGGAGTGAGAGATGGTTCTTCAATTGCAAATCTATAAACCCAGAAGCATCATTAAGGAGTATTCAGCTTAAACTGTGAGGATGAGCAAGTTGTGAGAGGAGGGAGGGACAGAGGAAGAAGGAAAAGAAGTCTCCTGGCCCTATCCCTGACATTCCAATTCCGACTTAAATGCCGCATTCCGAAAGGAAACCACTAGCTGGGATTTACCGGTCCTCCCGATTTCGATCCACGTTGTAAAAATGCTTCCTCAGCCACCTGCAATAAAAGAAGACAGAATTCAATCAGCTGGGGTCTTCTTCATAACTTCCTGTTCCTGCTCTGAGCAACAAAGTTTTCTCCAAAATGCAATAAATTTCTCCAAAAGGTTGCAAGCTGCTCTGCGCAGGCACACCCACATTTCTGTAAACTGTGAATTGTGCAGTGCACCATAAAACGAATGAAGTCTGTAGGTGATGACTTTCAGAGTGGCCCCAGACTGCTCCTTTGTTTTGTTAACCATGTTATTCTGTCCAATCGATTGAATGCTATATTCTGCAAATCAGAATTTACACTTGTATAATACTGTCAAATGCAGAATGGACAACATCTTATAAATCTTGCTTCTCCAGTTTAAGAACTACAAAATGGAAGAGTCCTACTAAGACTAAAAGAACACATATTTGACAAGAATAGCAGAGATATTGGTCATTAGTATCAGAGATAGTGGGAACTGC